ACTCATCCCTCCGCATATTGTTGAATTGAGCAAAATATCTTTCATTGCTTTTGACAATGATGAGAAAAACAATGTGGATGATGTGAGGTGGGAGGATAGTGGGAAAAATCTTGCTGACAGGGCAAAGGGGTTAAGCTGATGAGAGCAAGTCTTTCATTAAGACCTTGGTTAACACACTGATTCACAGTATCTCCCAGGTGTTCTAATACTGAGGGGAAAAGACAGCTGACAGACAATGGAGTGAATTACAATTATAATCTATGTTATGTGTTTATATTCATTACGTTGACATAAAATGCGATTGTTGTTTAACAATTGGATAAATTGTAGATCAATCTGTCAGTAATAAGTAATTATACAACTTCTTAGAAGTTAGCTGTAGCCATGTCGAATACAGAAACACAATAGCATAATGGCAGAAAGCAGAACAGTTAGAGAAAAATAGTAGAGCAAGAGACAGAGAGAAAGAGAGAGACAGAGAGAGACAGAGAGAGACAGAGAGAGAAAGAGAGACAGAGAGACAGAGAGAGACAGAGAGTGAGAAGCAGGGAGAGAGAGAGAGAGAGAGAGAGAGAGAGAGAGAGAGAGAGAGGGGGGGGGGGGGGGGAAGTGATAGATAAGAGCCATGCAGGGGGCCTTGCTGAGCCTGTAAAGCTCCTAAGTCAAGATTCTAGAATGCATTGCAGCTCCATGGGGTTTCCTGTGAGCTTGTGTTCTTCTCACGCACCACTGTCTGCTCCCTCAGACCCAGTCACTGTAGGGTCCGTGCTATCCGGGATCCTTGGAATGTCCCTATCCCATTGAAGTTTGCATTTTAAATGGGTTAGGGTAAGGGTAGGGTCAGGGTAGGGTTAAGGTTTAGGGTAAGGACGTCCCAAGGATCCTTGATAGCACTGACCGTCACTTTAGTGTCCACCATCCAGCTGCAGCAGGCAGCAGGTATGCTCATATTCCAGACACAATGACACAAACTAAGGAACTGTGATGTTCTGTTGGTTATGTCCTGTGAGCTGTGGGTTAGGGTCAGGGGTTAAAGATGTAGGATCATGTGACAGGATCACGTCACTGTGCCTGCTGTAGCTGGGTGGGTAGAAGACCGACATAGATCTAGGATCAGTTTACCCTCTCAAAATCCTATCCGACATTGACCATAGATCATTGTAGGGGCTGGATTCAATCCATAGCATCGAAGATCAGCGTTGTAGCGCGGTTGAAAGGTAAAGGTTGTTTTTGATCAATCACACTATAACGCTGATCTTCGGTGCTACGGATTTAATCCAGCCCTAGGTCAGCGTTTAGGGGCAACTCCAACCTACAGAGAGCCAGTACCACCCCGCCTTTTCTGTGTGTGTTTGTGGTCTGTCTGTGATGTTTCAGGTTGACAGAGAGCCAGGGATCACCCACAGTGACTGTAGCCTGAGAACAGAGCCCAGACTGAGCCATCTGGAGGAGCTCACAGTGTGTTCGGTCAGACTAATGATGCAAACATACACAACCTCACACACACTGTCATCATGGAGATGTCCCACAGGGATGACAGGTGTAGTGGAGCGGTCTAGCTGTGTGTATGTGTGTGTGTGTGTGTGTGTGTGTGTGTGTGTGTGTGTGTGTGTGTGTGTGCCTAAGGCAGGGCGGGGAAGGCATAATGTCTACAACTGTTGTTAAGTCATCTGCGTTCCATGCATCTGATCCAAGGTGAGTCACTATCCATACGGCCAAGTTTTGGGAAGGTCTTCAGGACAATGTTGTGCTATAATCACATTTTTTCCCTTTGTATGTTTTCCTGAGTTTTGTTGTTTGGAGGCTGTATGCTCATAAATTATGTTAACAGTAAGTTGGCATTAGCAGGGCAAGGGACTTGGGCTAAAGGCAAATAGCCTCCAAATAACACTCACATGGCTTAACCATTTCCAAATGCGGGGGTGAACCATGATAATCCAGAGTTTGGAAACTACCCATCCCCAAAGGGATCCCCCTTCTCTTTGTGGTTCGGTCTTCCCTCCTCTCAGTGCCCAAAATGAAATAACAACACAAGGCAAGTATCCCTGGATCGTGATCAATTACATCATTTTTTAGACAATCAAAACTATCCCCCAGAGAGAGTGACATAGTAGACCGGGTGGATCTGTGCTCGTTTGTTGGGTCTTCCTTCTCCACCACACTGCAGTGTTGGTGACATCAGGCGGATAAGGCCTATGGCTGTTCCAGAGCGGGACGCTCTGTGCCCTGAGGTGAGCTGTCACAATGCATCAGTCACTCACCTTTAACACATTAAGACGTTGTTTCCTGGCACACAGTCCTGGCCTAATCCACAGACCACAGCTCTTATTGCTAATCTGTTTTTAGGATTAGAGCAGAGAGGCTAAACACCTAGCCTATCAGTGGTCATCAACACATCAATGCGAATACTGGATCAATAGATGAACAGAGCATATACATGTACACTGGGTGGTTCAAGCCTTGAATGCTGATTGACTGACAGCAGTGGTATATAAGACTGCATACCACGGGTATGACAAAACATTTGTTTTTACTGCTCTAATTACATTGGTAAACAATTTATAATAGCAATAAGGCATCTTGGGGGTTTGTGATATATGGCCAATATACCATGGGCTAAGGGCTGTTTCCAGGCACTCCGCATTGCATCGTTCATAAGAACAATCCTTAGCCGTGGTATATTGGCCATATACCACACACCCCTGGGCCTTATTGCTTAAGTATACACTGAGTGTACAAAACATAAAGAAACACCTTCCTAATATTGAGTTACACCCTCTTTTGCCCTCAGAACAGCCTCAATTCATCGGGGCATGGACTCTACAAGGTGTCGAAAGCGTTCCACAGGGATGCTGGCCCATATTGACTCCAATGCTTCCCACAGTTGTGTCAAGTTAGCTGGATGTCTTTTGTGTGTTGGACCATTCTTGATACACATGGGAAACTGTTGAGCGTGAAAAACCCAGCAGCGTTGCAGTTCTTGACATCCTCAAATCAGTGCGCCTGTCATCTACTACCATACCCTGTTCAAAGGCACTTAAATCTTTTGTTTTGCCCATTCACCCTCTGAATGGCACACATACACAATCCATGTCTCAATTCTTAAAAATCCTTCTTTAACCTGTCTCCTCTCCTTCATCTACACTGAAGTGGATTTAACAGGTGAAATCAATAAGGGATCAAAGCTTTTACCTGCATTCATCTGGTCAGTCTATGTCATGGAAAGAGCAAGTGTTCCTAATGTGTTCTACACTTAGGTGTATACACATCCAAATCTGACACAGGAGCTGAACAGAAAATGGAGTGTTTACTGCTCCTAAAAGTGATCTTAATTGAAGCCCTCTGTGAAACTGTCAACAAACCATGTTCCCACAGACCTTATATGAGCAATCCTAGACACCAGTTCAGTTCTTGAACCAAGCATATCAACAGGTGACTTCTGTAACAAACATAGCATGAATAATAATTTAGTATAAAACGTATATTTTTATTTATTGCTTCATTTTATTATTAATGTTTTTTAAATAAACATTGACATAACTGTAAGTAGTAATGTATTATTGTAAAAATATTAAACCACTGCTTATGTAAAAACAAAAAACAAAAACGAACATTGTGTACAACAAAACATGTCAACATTTCAAACACATTCAGTTGACATTCTAGTGTAAAGAGCATACCACAACTCTCAGATAGTATTTACATCACAGCATTCTGGATCCATCCCATTGGCTATGTGTCCCGATGGAGGAAGAGAATGTTGATAAAAACCAGTTTATGCACACAAGAAAATGTATATAAAAATTAACACACAGATTGCAAAGGCATGACGATTTCATAAGTGAAAGGTAAGCTTGTGCTTTACCACAGTAACCTGTGTTCTCGCTTGTGTGGAGCCATACAGAGGACTGAGAGAAAAGGACAGGATATCATGAAATGTAAACATGAACCTAAAACAGGAAATATCTTATATGTCTGTGGCTATGTCTCAAATGGCACATTTTACCCTATATAGTTCACTACTTTAGGCAAGTAGTGCACTATATGGAATATGTTACCATTTGAGATTCGACCCGTGTTTTCTTGTGACCTCCTATGACTATTCACAGTTAAAACAAACGTGAAAAAGTTAAACTACAGCATGAAGAGCTGCAACTTTGAGGATTCACTGGAAACCATTCCTCTTTATGTGAAATACTTACAGGGTAAAGCAAGGATGGTGTCCAAACTAGTGGTTACAGAATGGACTATTTTGAAGTTTCTGGTGAATTATTTTTTTAGTAAAAGCTGCTGCTAAGAGTTTGCTTATCCACAGAGCACATGTTGTTTACCCATGTACATTTTATATCATTTTTTGAAAGTTTTCTAACGCATTTTATCTGAAAACAGACTGCCTGATCAAATCCTGGGTTTGCTTTCTTTCCCCTTGAAGATTGTTTCCATTCTAAATGTGTTTTCAATTATATTTTGGTCCTTCAGCAAAATCTCTCCCACTCTCTCATAATACTTTTTATCCCTACAGAAAACAAACTCCAACTGCTTCCTGATGTAGAGTGAGAGAGTGCGAGAGGGAGGGATAGAGAAGGAGGGAAAGAAGAGGGGAATTTATTGCAGCTGAACAAAAATGGAAGATTCACCCTCCATTTGACCACTTTTCCTAAAATGTCAAAGTACACCCATATAGTGCACTACCTTATATAGTGCACTACTTTCACAAGAGCCATAGAGGGCTGAGATTTAAGATTCGCCCACAGAGTCCATCCAACTAGCTTCCAACTTCAGGAGAACACTATCTAGGCTTACTACTAGCAAGAAACTCAGACAACAGAGATCCCATTGCACCAAGAACAGCATAGACACTGGCCAGTCAACTGCGCTCAATCTCCCACAACCTACAGCTGGGTATAGAACAAGAGCACACAGCTCTGGTCCAGAGGGCAACAATATCTGCTGCTTTTAGTCCCTGCAGAAGGACTGAGTTACCTGAAGGCCTGAGTTACCTGAAGCCCTGAGTTGCCAGAGTGCCTGAGTTGCCAGAGGGCCAGAGTTGCCTGAAGGCCTGAGTTGCCAGAGGGCCAGAGTTGCCTGAAGGCCTGAGTTGTGTACCCCTGGTATAGACCATCCCTCTAAGAAAAGGCTCTAGTTCATACAGTTCTTTAACCATTAGCAGATACAGTGAGAATCACACCTTACAGTACCTATCCAACATTCCAATGGGATAAATACTTACACATTCACAGTGCTACATTCTTCTGTCAACAACAACTGGGTGAGATATGACATTACATGCAAATGTAATACTCTATCATGTATTATGTGCTACCTAAAGAACAGGTATCCTAGAGAGCATTGCATTTTGTTTGTCATCATTTCAAGTAACAAATACGATTCTAGATGGAGGGAGGCAGGTCTTCCCCCAAAGGAAGACATCCAATGAGCAGCAGATATGCCCACAGCCACCACACCCATTCCAGCAGAGCTCACCCAATCGAGAGAAGGCACTGACAAAGGAGGAAAAGCAGGACGGGGCAAGAGCAAAGACTCTCCTATGCTCACAAGTTAAGGACAGGCTACCATGTTGCTCAGCATACAGCTGAGTGTCCCATACAGGTCTACGTGGACGTGCTCTCTCTGCGTGTATCCAGGGCACTGTGGAAGACACACACACACACTGATTACACTGGGCAGTGTGGGTAATAGGCAGCAGACACTTGGCACTAACTGTGCCATGCAAATCCAAGCAACTCAATACACACACAGACCAGACAAGACACGCACACGCACACACACACACACACAGAGACAGCAGTTGCACACATTCGCACGCGATCACACTAATACGACTCTAATTAGTGATGGCATGCAACATCACCACGCTCATGCAACCCAATACCTCACACTCACACTTATTTTCTCTCACTCTCACACAGACATATGCTGCCAGTCACATTGAAACCAAACAGAGTGACTGTCTGTCTCCACTAATGTGGCCTGTCTCTCTGGGGCAGACATAGCTGGTTAGATGTTTCTGGGAGCCAAATGTCTCCTTCCCTTTGCATTGTCTTCCCAGTCTTCATCCTTATCTGTTTCTAAAGTCTGATTTGCACGCTCAAATCTCAAGTTAGACCTGAATAAATGATTGGAGCCACACTCACGTTTGATGCTGCCGCAGAAAGTCTGCAAACTGCCGGTCCTTCGCATAGAGCTCGATGATGCGTAACCTGTCCTGGATTTCCTGTGGAAGAAGAGTGGGTGTGGTTAACAGGGTGAGAAAGGTTACATGACAGACAGACATTGTGTCCAAACGGTAGGCCTATATCCAGACAGTACAGATTAGATTAAGGAATTGAATGATACGTATGAGATAAGTAGGAGGTAAATATGGAAGGGGATCCCACACATTGGCTTTCACCTTCCTTCAACCCCACCAGCCTACACACACAGACACACACCTCCTTGGTCAGTTCGCTGTTCTCGTAGATGTGGCGTATCTCCTCACTGCTGAAGTCTGTGGAGGCCTCGGCGCTGGCGCTGCTGTAGACCGGGGCCTCTGGGTAGCGGCGGTAGTAGTGGCTGTAGCCCGTCGTGGCCTCACTCTCATACATGGGGTTGTACTTAGTGGCCCTCTCTAGAGACGGGATACTCTCCCCTCGCCTGGGGGACAGAGAGAGAGAGAAATCTGAGCTTAGTCTGCTAATAGGAGAAAGAGAGACCAACAAATACCTCTGTCTGGTAATTGTAATCGGGACAAAACCCTTTGTGTAAGTGAGAGTAGGTTGGAGGGTCGTGGGTAAGAGGACATTGTTTATTTGAAAGGGTAACGATTAACTCAGTCCCCAAAGAGAATAAATGAGGGAGAGAGAAAGGAGTCACTATGGTAGTCTTCTGTGATAATCATGTCTGACCAAGGCTTAAATAGGGGATGTCCTTTTACAGTAATTATATTTAGACAGGTTAAGTCTGTAGTGGTATTTACTAATAACATAACACCTGTAAGCTGCTGTACTGTACTGTACTGACCAGGGCTACAGTGCATATAAGGCCTCTGGCCTCCTGACAGTGTTAGAGACACCTACACTTTGTTCACCTCCTAAAGCACACACAGTCACGTACACGCACCAACACACCTACACACACGCACTGTACACACACACACACACACACACACACAACTCTAACTACTTATATGACTGGATGGCAGTCCCTATCCAACAGGTGATGTACCCTCCCTCTGAGAGGCTATGACAAAGAAGGAGTGGTGTGTGTTGACACTCACCGTATTGGGTCCTCTGCCTCATCCTTATCGTACTGATCCCGTAGTGTCCTCGCCAGGAAGAAGATCACACCAGATGCAACCAATAGGAAACCTGCTACGGAGGCAATCGCTATGCCGACCACCAGAGGTTCTGACACATACTCCTCACAGTGTTCTCCACGGTACCACCAGTTCTCCCCTACACGACATCTAGAACCACAAGGAACAACTTTTAGTACCACACATACACACACACCTAGAACACAACCAATTCTCAACATAATGACACCTAGAATCATAAGGAACAACTGTTAGTGCAACACAATAACACACACACACACACTGAAGTTGATCAATGCTCAAGAAAAGTTAAATTGAGTGTAAATGTTTATTTGTTATTTGTGGGAACTGGGATTAAACGTTCCATGGAGGGTGTGAACTTCCTCGTTGGCCATGTTGAGGTAAACAACATCTGGAGTGCTCTGTTTGTTTTATGATGGTGGGTGTGATGTAAGTCGCTCTGGATAAGAGCGTCTGCTAAATGACTTAAATGTTAAATGTGTGAAACAGAGGCCTCACACATGTTGGCACACACATCTGTTTATACATACTGTGTGTGTGTGTGCATGAGCCTGTGCATTTCCATTATGTTGTTTCTGAGATGGCTTTACAGTATGGACATTTATTGGAATTGTGCATTGGTCCTTCAATAAAGAGTGGGGTAAGTGCCATTCAGATTCTGTCAATTGTAATGAAATTCACACACACACACAAACACACACCTGCAGATGGCCCCCTGTCCAGGTATGATGTCACACTTCCCGTCATTCATACAGAAGTCTGTCTGCAATTCACAGATGCTCTGACAGGGCAGACCTTCCACGCTGAAGTAGCCAGCATTACAAACACACTCCGCCTCGCCAGACCAGCGGTTCACAGAACACTGGGCAAACTCATTACACGCCTGGAACTTACACGGGTTCGCCTGGTCACCTAGCAACAACACACAGGACACAGGTGTTAGGGCATTTCCAGTCGACTCCTGATAAGTGCACATTGGATAAGTGCAGACAATGCAGTTCACTAGTTCCAATTCAAATAAATTATTTTAATTGCTCTGCATATTTACTTTAAGTTTAGTCCCGAGTCATAGCATGATATAGTTTCTCCTTGCATGAAAACAGGGGTATATGACAAAAGATGTCAACGTTTTTATTCATACAGTATCTGTTCTCTAGTTCACACCCCCCTACTCGTCAACACTATACAGATGTTGTGTTCCTGGTTGCCAGGGTCTGGCTGGTGAGACCGGCTCTTTGTCTTCTGTCTAGATAAGAACCACCCTGAAAAAGGCTTTCATGCTAAAAATGGATCGGTTGTGTCATGCGTTTAACTTACAATCCATGTAGATATGCACATTTTAAGGCATTGTAACTGCATTTGTGTCTCCGGTGAAATATGTGGTAATTGTCAACCTTACCTGACTCTACGTCCAGTGAGTACTTGTCAATGGCCAGGTTCATAGTTTGGTAGGCTGTGTTAGCGAAGTCTTCCAGGATCAAGTAGACTGCATTGTTGACGCCGCGAGGCATCGGCCTCCCGAATTTCATCCGGCTGTTGACCACGATACTCCCATTCCGGAAGTTCAGGATCTCCAGATTCTGGAAGTTAGTAAGGTTGGACTGGAGGTAGGGGACCAGCTAGATGGGGGGGCAGGGAGGGAGAGAGGGGAGAGGGAGGAGGGAATGGAGAGAGCGAGAGAGAGCGAGAGAGAGCGAGAGAGAGAGAGAGAGAGAGAGAGAGAGAGAGAGAGAGAGAGAGAGAGAAAGATGGGTTCAGAGAGTTGACACTGTCTACATACAACACTTCAAATTAAGTCAATACAGGGGGAATAAATGCTCAAAATGAATAGCTCACCAGCTCTAGGAACCTTTGTTCCAGGGCCTTGTATTCCGCGGAGCTCTTATTGAAGAGGTCATCTGAGAACATCATGTTGGTGACCCTCAGACTGAAGAACACCATCAGAGCCCGCCCAGGGTTGATTGGCATGGCAATGCTGTGGTCCGTACCATGTACCACTCCAGAAGGGTACCCACTGCTCCCCTCCTCTGTTTGATTTGTCCCGCCGAAGTGGACCAGGTCATAGTCTGTCACAGGGTCTATCGTCTGCAGCTGGTTAAACAGACATGACACAATTCATGGTGCAATTGGTCAGTGTGGAACAACATTTGGTAACATTCATGATACAACAAGGAAATGTCTGTGCTTACAGATGATTAGACTAAAGGCATGGACAGACCAGTAGGATTGCTGGCCGAGAGTACTTAGCACCTCTAAACACAGTGCCGGCCATAATTTGCAAACTGATTCTACATGTTGAAATGGGCGAAAATGACGGCCGTCAGTCGACACTGGCGGGAGGTCCCTATAACACACCGCGCCGATAGCAAGCGAACGAACAGTGAATGAACGGCCCCTAATGTGCAGACCGACAATCGGTCATTCACGTGAAAACATGAAATTACCCCAGGAATCAATAGATCATTGCTCAAAGATGCACAAATACGATTCCCAGGGTCATTTAATGTTTTCATGTGTATCTGAGCTATTCGCCGTTCAAGCAGGCAGAAATACAGCCTTTATGATGCAAAACATGATGCAAAACACGTAATGCCCGCTGTATTTCTGCCTGCTTGAACGGCGAATAACTCAGTACTATAACAAGGGGAGTTTTTCCTAGTCAAGTCACTTGGTCACTAAGACAGGAAAAACTCAGAGCCCTGAAAAACATACACTACAAACATCAACTCTCAGTCATCTGTCATTACCTCCAGAGTGATGGAAATGTCTGGACCAGGGTGGTACTCGGCGGGTATGAGAGCTGGGGTGACACCCTGGTCCTCTTGTTCTGCCTCTGGTTCTGGGGCTGTGTCCAGGGCTGTGGCCACTGTCACCTCCTCCTCCTCTACTATGACATCAGAGACTCGGGTGAAGGGTGACTCTTTCTCCGCAGAGAGAGGGGTGGGGTGGGTGGCCTCCGGAGAAGCCTCATCGACCAATAAGATCTTGTCTTCTACCAAGTCCTCCTCCGAGATCTCAGAAATGTCCGGAACTTCAACGACCACTTCTTCTGCCACCTCTTCCTCCACCTCCACCTCCACAACATCCTCTTTAGTTACTGGCTCCTCGATGATTGGTCCCTCCTCTAAGCTCTCAACTTCCTCTCCATATTCAGGTATTTCTGGATAAGCCAGCCCCACGTTAGTCTCCTCTTCAGGCTCATCTGGGGGCAGAGTCTCGATGGCAGGGGGATTCTCGGGGACAATGAGGTCCTCCGCTGGCTCGGGAGCTTCCATCGTCTCCACAGGGACGAAGGCAGGGGCCTCTTCCTCTTCAATGGTCTCTGTCTCTATGATGGAGTACTCCAGGTCTTCAGAGGGTCCAGCTTCCTCTTCTAGAACCTCTGCTGTGTCAGGGACCTCCACTGTTTCCTCCTCTACCTCATCTTCCTCAGAGACCTCCGCTTCAGCTTCCTCTGTTTGGATATCTTCCTCTATGATTACCTCTTCTGGAACTACCTCTTCTTTTATGGTCAGTTCCTCTTCTGGAGCTGGGGCTGGCTCTTCTTCTGTGGCCTCTTCTTCCTCTTCTTCAGGCTGGAAGGGCAAGTCCTCCAGTACGCTAACACCTGAACCAGAGGCCTCTATCTCCAGAGGAGGCTCGGGGAGCGTAGCGCCCTCTGGCTGCTCAGGGGAGGTAGGGTCTGTAGGGAGGTCCTCCAGCAGAGGGCTCTCTGTAGACACAGTGTTCTCCAACAGCATAACCTCCTCCTCAATGCTTGTGTCATCGATGGTCACCTCAGGCTCAGCGGGGAGGATCACGCTGTCCTCCTGAACAATGACATCATTCTCCCCCGTTGCTACATCCTCAGCTTCAACCTCGGGGGCGTCTGGGGTCATCTCAGCAGCCAAAATGTCCTCCTTGACAACAGAAACATTACAGGAGAAACCTATTAGTCCCTCAACTGTTACACCATCAGGTTGGGGTTCCATTCCATTCCATTTCAATTCAGGACATGGAATTTACCACAACCCTGTACTGTATTATATTATAATCAGTAGTCTTCAAAACTGCAAGGCTAGGGAATTATAGGTTTCCATGACTTAATGACTGCCAAAAATGATTTACTGACATGCACATGCTCTGTGTATTGTTATCAAGTTTTAACTACCTACATGGTGTGACAACTACTCCAAGGCATAATACTAACTAAAATCCAGCTTCTGTCTGATGGAGAGAAATCTATCACTCTAAGATAAGGTAGTCCTGGGCAGCTTTGATGCCTAGAGCTTCTGTTATGGCTGTGTGCGGTTGGCTGTAAATGCCAGTTACTGACTGGTAGTTTGCCAACCTCTTCCAGTCCATGTAATTACTCCAATTAATCACTTAGGGCCTTAGCAGGCAAAGTAGACCAGCAGACCCAGTTACTGTCCAAGATCAAGACTGGAGCTCCCAGCTCTGATTACCACGACACAGCACATTTAAGCTGCTAGACTACTGGCAGAATCAGACAGACGTGTAACATTCAACAATGATAATAGAGTCCTGCATTGTTTATCTGTTTATCTTTCAAAATGTTCTAGACCTATCCCTCACAAACACAGTTGGAGTGAGAATATATCACCCTCTCTCTCTCTCTCTCTCTCTCTCTCTCTCTCTCTCTCTGTAGCCCCAGAACAGTAGTGGATTATTATAGCAAGAGCCAAGCTAATCCTCAAAGCCTTCCCCTCATCCTTTTCCATTTCCTCAGCACTGGACTGGAGAGGCCTGGTTAACACCACCTAGCAGCAGTCTTAACAAGACATTACCTAACACACCATTCTAATACACTCCACACTGAAATGCACACCTATATAGATTTGGTTTGATATTTAGAAAGATCCATGCTCAGCATTGTGCCTCTCACTGTTGTCCAGAAAGTACCTCTGGACCAACAGGAGAGGTCAAAGGCTGTTGTCATGGAGATGACCTCTGACTTACCACACTGCCGTTGGTGTAATCCTCGGGTATTCCAGCAGTGGGCTCAAAGGACTCAGTAACACTGGACACTGTGAAACCAAAGAGGACACAGAGTCAATACTGTCACAGAGTCACAGGAGGCCCTATTCAATCAAACCTAATATTCAGATTTCCAGGATCATTATAAACAACAACAAAAGGCTCTCAACAAACTCTGCTGCATAATAAGTCAAACTTTCTCTCTCAATGTACAGGAGGAATTACGTTTTCTGTAAAATCCACTCTCCCTCTCCCCAGTCCTGACAGTGGTGGTGCTGACTGTGTGCTTACCTAAGGGGAACCCTACTAATCACCCTACAGATCTGGCCCCTATACCTGCCACTGTGGGCGAAGACTGCATTACCATCAGGCCTGGAGGCTGTAACTTGGAGCCAAGCAGTGCCTGTAAGTCACCACACACCGTGCCAGGCAGGCATCTGACAGTATTTACCCCTCATTTCAGATGACCCGGTCCATCAGACGGCATCTATCTTCAGGGAAACACAGTAAACGAATTACACTGATTCCTTTACAACACCGCCAGGGAGAATTCCCATAGCCCAGGGAGAAGGTATAGTCATCATTACTGTAGAACTTGTTCCATTCGCTGGAAGAAACCCTGCCAGAAGTTAGAACTAACCTACTTACTGACACACTCGCTGAAGCGGTTTAGCTCGGTGTGTGTGTTCACATACAGTGGGGAAAAAAAGTATTTAGTCAGCTACCAATTGTGCAAGTTCTCCCACTTAAAAAGATGAGAGAGGCCTGTAATTTTCATCATATGTACACGTCAACTATGACAGACAAAATGAAAAAAAATTCCAGAAAATCACATTGTAGGATTTTTAATGAATTTATTTGCAAATTATGGTGGAAAATAAGTATTTGGTCAATAACAAAAGTTTCTCAATACTTTGTTATATACCCTTTGTTGGCAATGACACAGGTCAAACGTTTTCTGTAAGTCTTCACAAGGTTTTCACACACTGTTGCTGGTATTTTGGCCCATTCCTCCATGCAGATCTCCTCTAGAGCAGTGATGTTTTGGGGCTGTCGCTGGGCAACACGGACTTTCAACTCCCTCCAAAGATTTTCAATGGGGTTGAGATCTGGAGACTGGCTAGGCCACTCCAGGACCTTGAAATGCTTCTTACGAAGCCACTCCTTCGTTGCCCGGGCGGTGTGTTTGGGATCATTGTCATGCTGAAAGACCCAGCCACGTTTCATCTTCAATGCCCTTGCTGATGGAAGGAGGTTTTCACTCAAAATCTCACGATACATGGCCCCATTCATTCTTTCCTTTACACGGATCAGTCGTCCTGGTCCCTTTGCAGAAAAACAGCCCCAAAGCATGATGTTTCCACCCCCATGCTTCACAGTAGGTATGGTGTTCTTTGGATACAACTCAGCATTCTTTGTCCTCCAAACACGACGAGTTGAGTTTTTACCAAAAAGTTCTATTTTGGTTTCATCTGACCATATGACATTCTCCCAATCCTCTTCTGGATCATCCAAATGCACTCTAGCAAACTTCAGACGGGCCTGGACATGTACTGGCTTAAGCAGGGGGACACGTCTTGCACTGCAGGATTTGAGTCCCTGGCGGCGTAGTGTGTTACTGATGGTAGGCTTTGTTACTTTGGTCCCAGTTCTCTGCAGGTCATTCACTATGTCCCCCCGTGTGGTTCTGGGATTTTTGCTCACCGTTCTTGTGATCATTTTGACCCCACGGGGTGAGATCTTGCGTGGAGCCCCAGATCGAGGGAGATTATCAGTGGTCTTGTATGTCTTCCATTTCCTAATAATTGCTCCCACAGTTGATTTCTTCAAACCAAGCTGCTTACCTATTGCAGATTCAGTCTTCCCAGCCTGGTGCAGGTCTACAATTTTGTTTCTGGTGTCCTTTGACAGCTCTTTGGTCTTGGCCATAGTGGAGTTTGGAGTGTGACTGTTTGAGGTTGTGGACAGGTGTCTTTTATACTGATAACAAGTTCAAACAGGTGCCATTAATACAGGTAACGAGTGGAGGACAGAGGAGCCTTTTAAAGCAGAAGTTACAGGTCTGTGAGAGCCAGAAATCTTGCTTGTTTGTAGGTGACCAAATAATTATTTTCCACCATAATTTGCAAATAAATTCATTAAAAATCCTACAATGTGATTTTCTGTAAAAAAAAATCTCAATTTGTCTGTCATAGTTGACATGTACCTATGATGAAAATTACAGGCCTCTCTCATCTTTTTAAGTGGGAGAACTTGCACAATTGGTGGCTGACTAAATACTTTTTTTCCCCACTGTATGTGTGTTTGTGTGGAGCATGTATGTGTGTGCATGTGTATATGTGTGTGTGTGCAACTAAAACATGCACTGGAGCCCAGTGAAGGTAATGGATTGAAGTAAAGCAAGAGAGGTAAGGGTTCTGATTCTTCAAATCCAGTTGGCTCACTTCGATCAGACAGACCGTTTAATGAGGAAGATTGAACTGCTGCAGAGTAAATACACAGTCCCTATAAAAGATGAGTCTGTTATTTGTTTATCGAAAATGACCCACTTCTGAACAGAAATCTCTTCACCACAAAACGCTGCATAAGACCAAGTGCTGTTAAATAGAATGAAGGAAATTAGGCCCCAGAGAGCCAGTGTGGATAGGTGGAGGTGGGACAACTAAGGTAGGTTGGGGCTGGCTCTTGTGGAACTAGGTGTCTTACAATCAGATACAGTGATCCAATTGGTGTTGTTGGCTTCATTGTATGGTGTTGTAGGGTGTTGGGTCCCATGGAATTCATAGTCTGGCTACAGCAGGGCCAATTCCAAACATAAGCGGTCACTTAGGGCCCTTGGGCGCTAGGGTGCCCCCGACCCCAAATCATTATATACACACACACTTATATATTGTTTTGTCATACAACACAATGCCACAGATGTCTCAAGTTTTGAGAGAGTGTGCAATTGGCATGCTGACTGCAGGAATGTCCACCAGAGCTGTTGCCAGAGAATTGAATGTTCATTTCTCTACCATAAGCCGCCTCCAGTGTCGTTTTAGAGAATATGGCAGTACGTCCAACCGGCCTCACAATCGCAGACCACGTGTAACCATGCCAGCCCAGGACCTTCACATCCAGCTTCTTCACCTGCGGGATCGTCTGAGACCAGCCACCCGGACAGCTGATGAAACTGAGGAGTATTTATGTCTGTAATAAAGCCCTTTTGTGGGGAAAGACTCATTCTGATTGGCTGGGCCTGGCTCCCCAGTGGGTGGGCCTGGCTGCCAAGTGGGTGGGCCTATGCCCTCCTAGGCCCACCCATGGCTGAACCCCTGCTCAGTCATGTGAAATCCATAGATTAGGGCCTAATGAATTTATTTCATTTGACTGATTTCCTTATATGAACTGTAACTAAGTAAAATCATTGAAATTGTTGCATGTTGCGTTTATATATACAGTGCATTCAGAAAGTATTCAGACCCCTTGACTTTTTCAAAATGTTGTTATGTTACAGCCTTATTCTAAAATGGATAAAATAGTTTTTTCCCCCTTATCAAACTACACACAATACCACATAATGACAAAGCAAAAACTGTTTTTTTAAAAACATTTTTGAAAATTGTCTGAAATATCACATTTACATAAGTATTCATACCCTTTACATAAGTATTTAGACCCTTTACTCAGTACTTTGTTGAAGCACCTTTGGCAGAGATTACAGCCACGAGTCTTCTTGGGTATGACGCTACAAGCTTGGCACACCTGTATTTGGGGAGTTTCTCCCATTCTTCTCTGCAGATGCCCTCAAGCTCTGTCAGGTTGGATGTGGAGCGCCGCTGCATAGCTATTGTATTGCATCTCTCCAGAAATGTTAGATCAGGTTCAAGTCTGTGCTCTGGCTGGGCCACTCAAGGACATTCAGAGACTTGTCCCGAAGCCACTCGTGCGTTGTCTTGGCTGTGGACTAAGGGTCATTGTCCTGTTGGAAGGTGAACCTTCGCTCCAGTCTGAGGTCCTGAGCGCTCTGAAGCAAGTTTTCATTAGGGATCTCTCTGTACTTTGCTCTGTTCATCTTTGCCTCGATCCTGACTAGCCTCCCAGTCCCTGCCGCTGAAAAACATCCCCACAGCATGATGCTGCCACCACCATGCTTCACCGTAGGGATGGTGCCAGGTTTCCTCCAGACGTGACACTTGGCATTCTTGTTTCTCATGGTCTGAGAGTCCTTTAGGTGCCTTTTGGTAAACTCCAAGCGGGCTATCAGGTGCTTTTTACTGAGGAGCGGCTTCCGTCTGGCCACTCTACCATAAAGGCCTGATTGGTGGAGTGCTGCAGAGATGGTTGTCCTTCTGGAAGGTTCGCCCATCTCCACAGAGCAACTCTAGAGCTCTGTCAGAGTAACCATCGGGTTCTTGGTCACCTCCCTAAACAAGGCCCTTCTCCCCCGATTGCTCAGTTTGGCCAGGCGGCCAGCTCTAGGAAGAGTCTTGGTGGTTCCAAACTTCTTCCATATAAGAATGATGGAGGCCACTGTGTTCTTGGGGACCTTCAATGCTGCAGAAATGTTTTGGTACCCTTCCCCAGATCTGTGCCTTCGACACAATCCTGTCTCGGATCTCTACGGACAATTCCTTCGACCTCATGGCTTGGTTTTTGTTCTGACATGCACTGTCAACTTATATAGACAGGTGTGTACCTTTCCAAATCATGTCCAATCAATTGAATTTACCACAGGTGGACTCCAATCAAGTTGTAGAAACATCTCAAGGATGATCAGTGGAAACAGGATGCACCTGAGCTCAATTTCTAGTCTCATAGCAAAGGGTCTGAATGCTTATGTAAATAAGGTATTTCTATTGTTTTTTTATAAAAAATTAAAATACAAAACTGTTTTCGCTTTGTCATTATGGGGTATTGTGTGTAGATTGCTGAGGCTTGTAATTTTTTTAATGTATTTTAGAATAAGGCTGTAACGTAATAAATGTGGAAAAGGTCAAGGAGTCTGAATGCTTTCCCGATGGCACTGTATGTAGATATGGAACTCAGTCGGGGTCTCAACTTACTATTGAGAGTAAGAATAGTAGAATACACCAAGTGCAATTTCGAAATTTGGCTGTGCATTAGCAGTTTTTTTTTAGTTATGTCAGTCACTGACAGTCACTCAATTAGCCTTGTCAGCTAACAATTTTTTGCTTGGTAGTTAGTCTACAGTAGCCAGCTACACTATATATACACAAAAGTATGTGGACACCCCTTCAAATTAGTGGATATGGCTATTTCAGCCACACCCGTTGCTGACAGGTGTATAAAATCAAGCACACAGCCATGCAATCTCCATAGACAAACATTGGTAGTAGAATGGCCCATACTGAAGAGCTCAGTGCCTTTCAACGTGGCACCGTCATAGGATGCCACCTTTCCAACAAGTCAGGTTGTCAAATTTCTGCCCTGCTAGAGCTGCCCCGGTCAACTGTAAGTGCGAAGTGGAAACATCTAGCAGCAACAACAACGGCTCAGCAGTGAAGTGGTAGGCCACACAAGCTCACAGAACGGGACCACTGAGTGCTGAAGCGTGTAAAAATCGTCTGTCCTCGGTTGCAACACTCACTACCGAGTTCCAAGATGTCTCTGGAAGCAACGTCAGCACAATAACTGTTCGTCGGGAGCTTCATGAAATGGGTTTCCATGGCCGAGCAGCCGTACACAAGTCTAAGATCACCATGCGCAATGCCAAGCGTCGGCTAGACTGGTGTAAAGCTCGCCGCCATTGGACTCTTGAGCCATGGAAACGCGTTCTCTGGAGTGATGAATCACGATTCACCATCTGGCAGTCGAACTGACAAATTTGGGTTTGGCGGATGCCAGGAGAACGTTACCTGCCCGAATGCATAGTGCCAACTGTAAAGTCTGTTGGAGGAGGAATAATGGTCTGGGGCTGTTTTTCATGGTTAGGGTGAGTCTCCTTAGTTCCAGTGTCCACATACTCTTGGTCATGTAGTGTATCTAAACTTGCAGTAATCATGGCCAAATATCGACTAGGCACACAGGGAACGTGCCTAGAGGCCCTGACCTCCAGGGAGCACCCATTCATCTTTTTCTTTTTCTTCTCACTCAGATATCATATTATCATGGCATAAATCATTAAAACATCTGTAGAATTGCTTTAAAATGGCACAAATTGCTCTCCACCCCCTGGCAAAATGGGTATATTTGCATGCAATTTGTTATGAAATTAATATGTTTTCTCTCTGCCTAATGGCAAAATGTGTAAAGTTTGAGAAAGTTTGCTTTAGAACTGCAACACTTTCCCTCCAGCCCATGGCAAAATGTGGAAAATGTAAGGAAATTAACTTTAAAACTTAAATGTTTCTCTCCACCGTAAAGAAGGGGTCCACTAAAATGTTTTGCCGCAAGATGGGGGCCCCCCAACCAAATCTCGCTTAGGCTAGAGCCGGCCCTGGGCTACAGTGCCAGAGTATTGTGTATAGTGGTTTGGCATTGTATGGTAATGTGTAAATAGTGTATTGTACAGTAGTGTTGTGTAGTGCTGTACCAGTGTCTAGTTGCAGTGAGTCAGGGTCCAGGGCCAGGGTTGTATCACTGATGATGTTGTCCTTGTGCTGGGCCTCAGTGATGTAGTTCCTCTCCTCCACCTCTCTGTAGGAGTTCTCCACCAGATTGGACTGCAGGGTCAGGTAGTCCAGCTGGTCACTGCTCACCCCCTCCTCTTCCACCTCTACTGTCACCGCATAGACCACCACCACACCATCCAACCTGCATAGGCAATATATGTACAGATACATCAGTCAGTTAATCTGTCAGTTGATCAATATATCAATCTATGAAGTATATTTATATCCATCCCTCCATCATCAACATCTATCCACCCATACACCCATTGACAAATCATAAAATTTTACTATCAATGTATATATTATTTTATTGATAAGTTTATTCATCTAAGCTTAGCTAGAAACAGCGTCTCTAAGAGGAGAGCAGTTTCCCTTGGAAGAGTAGAGTTCCAAAGATGTACTAACCAACCTGTTAAAAGCATATGAGTCTATTCTGAAATGATAGTTTTATAGATTTTTTACTATAACTTCCATGACTTCCATCCAACCAGACCTACCACTAAAGTGATCAATATGGTCATAAACACAACAAAAAATGCACAAGAGACTCTGGATGTTGAACCTGGCTATGTGGAAAAAGCCATCTATCAGCTTCATATGGCTTCAGGGAGCCCTTCTCTGCTCTTCTCTTTTTCCCTGTGACCTAGATCTCTCAGCAGCTTGGCTTGGCCCAGGGTGAGGCACGTGCCTGTAATCAGCTCACTGCACCACCACATCCCAGTTTTCCTGCTGTCAGCTCAAACTGGGTAAAGGAATACTCCTTGATAAGACAACTTTCAGAATCCAAGTGTTTAATGACACTTGAAACTACTCTATGTTATTTTCCTACTCTTCTGCTGCACCTGCAGATACCAGGTGAGCAGATGGACCTACTGTTCTGTTCCTGTCAGTTCCATACTGTAGCGCTACTGACCTGGGAATCTGGGATCACCACTCAGAGGAGAGCAAGGCTTTTCTTAGTAAAGTCCCATGTAATTGCATGAGCAGAGGACTGTGTGTGTGTGTGTGTGTGTGTGTGTGTGTGTGTGTGTGTGTGTGTGTGTGTGTGTGTGTGTGTGTATTCCTGTGTGTGTTAGTGTGCCTACACAGCAAATTTGTGTTAAAATCTCTGGTGTGTTTCACTTGGTGAAGGCTACAGGACTGAAAGCCATCGAATGCAACAATCATGTCTCTGTCACTACCAAACAGTCATGGGTGGTACTGGTACCTTGAAAGACACCCTGGGAAAGAAATATGCAAATAATTAAAACACCCAAAAACGAGTTACTGTAACACCACAGGTGTTAATTCCCTAACACTGAGGAAGTGTAACAGCATCAGCTCTAATAAAGTGTTAATTTAAGTCAGAATCTGCAACATCCACAGTGTTAGGGACCAAACACTCTTGGGTTGTTAGTTTATCAACACTTTGAAAAGTGTTAATTTAACACTATTTGAGATGTTCACGTATAAGTTCAAGATGGCGCCGATAGACATGGCAGCTCTGTTTCTAGCTCCTATGCAACTTTGCAGTATTTATTTGTATTTTTTGTTATTTCTTACATTATTCACCTAAAAGTTTTTTTTGCAAACAACTACAAGCATTTCGCTACACCTGCAATAACATCTGCTAAATATGTGTATGCGACTAATACAATTTGATTTGATTTGAAAGTGTTACATTTAACACTGTGGGTGTAAAAATTCAGATCACAAATTTGCTGTGTAGAGACATTGATGAGGGAAACCCAGCATGGTCCCTCCCTGTGGTTGACAGGCCATGATGCTGATTGCTGTGGGCATAAAGCCCCTTAGATAAGCTCCTCTCCTGGGTTGGGGTTAGGTAGCAGCTGGTCTCTCTGTCAGGCCCCGGCCTTATCCTGCTTACCAGGTGAGCGACCACGATAACACCATTAACGTCAAGCAAACAAAAAAAAACACCCAACACACCCTCAGAAGTGTCCACGCTCGCTCACAGGTAAACACAGCATGGATCCCGCGTGAACTTCAGGCAGAGACACACACACACTCTGTGTAGACTAGGTTATTCTTAACCACAGATCTAGGGTCAGATTACTAATGACTGAACACCTCCAGGGCTGTTGGTAAGGGTCTATACTCACCCTTGGGCATCCTTCTGAAGCCTGCATGAAACAAAAACAAAACACACTTCATCTAAAGAAATTATGTTTGACAAAGACCAGGTTAGAAGGTCAGGTCAATTTATCAAACCAATGGTCTACACCACTAGCCTGGTCACATCTGTGTGTTGTAGGCAACTCTTCAGATTATTGCTGTCATGCCATACATGTATGTACAGTATAGCATGACAAAGATAGTTAAGGGAGTTGGTTAAACTAAAGCACATCAAGATGTGACCAGGACCAGGCTACTACATCACTACAGTAGAGACTGACCTGAACTCCAGCACAGCCACACTCTTAAAGCCTGGCAGTCCCCCCAGAGCATCCTTTATCTGCAAACACAGAGGTCAACGTGAGTTCAACAGTCAACATCAGCATCCATGTCATTCGTGGCCCAAACTTTATCACTAACCTTATCTCTAAACCTAATCAAATAAAAAAGGAATAGCTTATGTACTTGGCTTGCTCATGAATTCTGAGGATATTGCCAGTTGATGTCCTCTCTAGCATGGCCATCTAGTGACTACTACTCACTCAGACCACTGATTGAACCTTGTTGCTGGATGCTAATGTGAAGTGCTTTGTGAAGAGAATCATTGTTCTGCTGACTCATTGACCCAGGATTGTGGAATACCTCCTCAGTGATAAAATGTAATCAAGTTTAATAGTGTGCAAACAAGCCTGCCATTACACCCTCTTCTGCGTTTCTCTCTCAATGCGCCAGATACCCTGCTTTCGCAATCACTATTATTCTGACACATTTGGCGACACAGCCTACTGCTTCAGTTGTCAGATTGTGTCTTTCCGAACTTGCCCGTCCCTCTCCTCCTCCCTCTTCTATCTCCTTCCCACTTTCCGTACACAGAGTGATCAAGTTTAAGACAGAGTAATAATGAGTAAATTAATGGCTAGCAGGGGAGAGTCAAAATCATCTTATTTTACCAGCAGCAGTAAAATGTCTGACCCAGTTGTTCTCAGTCAAAAAGCATCAATGGTGGAGGAAAGTTATCTGTGAGTTCGTGGGTGTGTGTGTCCTGCCTTCAAAAAAAAAAAAAAAACGTATTTGCCACAAGCGCTGAATACAACAGGTGTAGACCTTACAGTGAAATGCTTACTTACAAGCCCTTAACCAACAATGCAATTTTAAGAAAAATAAGTGTTAAGTAAAAAATAGATAAGTAAAAAATAAAAAATAATTAAAGAGCAGCAGTAAAATAAAATAACAGTAGCGAGGCTATATACAGGGGGTACCGGTACAGAGTCAATGTGCGGGGGCACAGGTTAGTCGAGGTAATTGAGGTAATATGTACATGTGGGTAGAGTTAAAGTGACTATGCATAGATATTAAACAGAGTAGCAGCAGCGGAAAAGCAAATAGTCCGGGTAGCCTTGATTAGCTGTTCAAGAGTCTTATGGCTTGAGGGTAGAAGCTGTTTAGAAGCCTTTTGGACCTAGACTTGGCGCTCCGGTACCGGTTGCCGTGCGGTAGCAGAGAGAACAGTCTATGACTAGGGTGGCTGGAGTCCTTGACAATTTTTAGGGCCTTCCTCTGACACCGCCTGGTATAGAGGTCCTGGATGGCAGAAAGCTTGGCCCCAGTGATGTACTGAGCCGTACGCACTACCCTCTGTAGTGCCTTGCGGTCGGAGGCCGAGCAGTTGCCATACCAGGCAGTGATGCAACCAGTCAGGATGCTCTCGATGGTGTAGCTGTATAACTTTTTGAGGATCTGAGAACCCATGCCAAATCTTTTCAGTTTCCTGAGGGGGGAATAGGCTTTGTCGACTCCAGTCCTTCTTGCGGTCTCAAGCCACATCATAAACTGTCAATTTCAGCATCCTTTCACACAAAGTATGCCTAGTGTCAAATTCAAACAGTCAAATAAAGGGAATTTGAAATCCTGCCCAACTGTGTGGGTTCTTAATAGCGCCCTGACTGTGTGTGTTAAATCTAACAATTAATCACTATAGCCTCAGCGCCAAGCCTACAAACAAAGTGATGGGTGAGGAGAGGCCAGGAGAGGAAAGTCATTTAGAGGAAGATTTAGAGGAGATGGTGACAGAGAGATGAAAGGAGAGTGAGAGAGAAGGAAAGAGTGAGGAAATAAACTGAGTACTGTAAAGGAGTGAAGTGGAGAAATGCATGATGGAGCGATGAGAGAGGAAGGAGAGGAAGTGAAGTAGGAATTAATGAATGCGTTTTGAGTGAAACAGAACGAAGGTCTGAGCGTACCTTGTCAGTGAACTGCTGGTTGAGTGTCTGGTACTGGAGGCTGGCAGGGTCTCTGAGAGCATCGCTGTACCCCTCTCCCTTCAGCAGGATACTCAGCTCCACCACCTGCTCCAGCTGGACCCGCGCCAACCCCTCCATCTCTATGTCATTTGTGGGTTCTGTGGAAGGCTCCACCACTGCAGCCTCTGGCTCCTCTATGATGACCTCACTGATGGCCTCTTGGGGGTTAGGGAGTGAGAGGGTAAAAGTCAGTGTTTTTATAAAGCAACACTTTCCTTGTCTCTGAATCAACTTAATCAAGCTCTTTATAATTAGTTAATTAGCTGACTCGGGTACATTACTACTGGGCTGGACCAAAGCTTGCACAACCTGTGGGTCCTCAGGACTAAAGAAATCTGATTGTCAACTTTGACGCTGGTCTATATGTGCTTTAGCTAATCCTCTAACTATCATTGTAACGATGTGTTTACCGTGAGACATCAGAAGCATTGCTTGGCTTAAGCCCATATGTGGACCAAGACATCAATAGCCAGAGGAGTTGGCTAACTCTGTGGGTGCTCTGATTGCTAATGTGGATTAAACAGCTCTACTGGGATAATACTGGTCTGCACCCATCATACAGCAAAGAGAGGGAGATGGGGGCGAGAGAAAGAGGAAAAGTGAGAAAGAGGTAACAAAGAGAGAGAGAGAGAGAGAGAGAGAGAGAGAGAGAGAGAGAGAGAGAGAGAGAGAGAGAGAGAGAGAGAGAGAGAGAGAGAGAGAGATGGAGGGAGGGAGGGAGGGATAAAGGAGGGGTGAAAGAGCAAGAGTGTGTGTGTGTGTGTGTGTGTGTGCATGTGTCACGGACCTCCTTGAGCCTCCTGTTCCCTGTCTGTAGTCTGGGTGCTGTGGAAGAACAACAATCAGTCACAGTTAAAAAGAGGTTTCACTCACAGATCTCATCAATTCAAATTATAATAAGGTTTTCTTAAGAATAATTGAAGAAGCACATTACAATGTTTGGTGTTCTACATGGAGTGGATATGGGCACAGCAGCCATAGAGATACATACAGTGTGTCTATCTCTACGTGCACAGCGATGGAGGAGGTGATGAGGAGTAATATGGCCAGGTAAGGTTGAAGAACCTTCAGAACCTTACCTGCACATATGAAGCCATGAGTTGGTGGCCTCACTACGGTTGATAGAACAGGAGTAGAGAACAGCAATGGGGAAATGAATGAGACACATGTAATATAAGGTTATTGCACAGTGAATACGCTCAAAGAGTGGTTACAATGGCAATGAAAGTGAATATGATATGATGCCTTACCTTTTTAACCCTGTCAGTGACATTCTCTGAAATTGGAAAGATGGAAGACAGTAATAACTGAAGCATGAATAGTTATACACACAAAATAACATTTAAAAACACACAAAAAAACTGCTGAAAGCTATTACTTTTTGGATGGATGATGATGTACAAGTAGTAGATATACATGATGATGGTACTTTCATGGAGACTGAAGAGACTCATATCTCCTATGCACCCACTACCCCTCCCCCTTACAAAAATAGCCCACTCACACTCTCAACCAGGGCCAGGTGCTCCTCTGATTGGCTGAAGTTGTTGCCCATCTCCAGAGCGGTGGTCGTGCCATCCAGGCATTGACTCATCCAGGTCTGGTACTCTTCCTGGTTCGGGAGGCGGTCCCAGAAGATCTTGAAGGCCTCCCACACTGTCTCCTGACACACTAAAACACACACACACTAATGTCACTGATTGGTGAAAGAACCATTTACTTGGTAGAAAACTTTCTCTAAGCATGACAAGGAGCAGGTAGGAAAACCATCCTAGGCTGTGGCCCCTCCTGTTCTGGAGCTGTGACGCCCTGAGGTAAATCTTAGCTAGCATCGTAGCTCGTGTGGATTTAAGCGTTGTACAGTACATACCCCCCCCCCCCCCCCCCAGGTCAGAGTCAACAGACTCCATGTTTAGCATGCTGTGTACCTGTCTGCCTGACCTCAGTATCACTCTCCACTGTCATGCCACTGCTAAATCAGTGATGTAACCCCTTTCCATATTGTAAGTCAGCTTACAGGTCACCAACCCAATGACCTGTAGCTACCTACTCAACCCTCACTGCTCTCCTCCCTGGAGCCAAAGCATCTCCCAGTCCCCATAGGGGAATAGGGTTAACACGGTTAAAGATCAGTTCCTACAGCACAGTATCTCCCTTAACCTTAACGCTGTCCCAACTATTCTCTTCCCAATTCAATTCTAACAACTGCATCTACATGGGACCCTGCACCTACATAATATAGTACTATCTCCACAATCATTGTGCTCACCTACCTATATCTACACAATCACCAACCACGGCCCTGGTCTAAAGAGCTACAGGGTGGGATTTGTTCCAGCCCATCTTACTGAGCAGATGTTTAAATTGGGTGTTTTAGTAAGTGCTGGGCTGAAACTAAAGTCTTGATTGCCAAATTTGACCAATCTCATAAAAGTAAAAAAAAACATGTTATACATTTTCATTCAAGCATAGTATAGAGAACGTCCTGGAATAGCTTTACTATTCATCGGGAGACCCAAGGGTTAGCCAAACAGCCAGGGAGGGTTAGCAACCCTCTGATGGAGTCCAGCCAGGTCAGGTCCAGCCAGGTCAGTGTCTCAGCAGCCCACCAGACTGGAGTCACATGCAGAGCTGTCCTGAACACTCACCACAGAATAGTCCCACTAACAGGCCCACAGACTCTCCAAAGCTCCTGCCTCTCAGAACCCTAAGCCTCTGTCTCTCTCTCTCCTGAGTGGCTGGACACATGTTCTGAGCGTTTTATTTTTAACCTGTCTGCTCGCGCCCAACGTCCTTCTCAGGGTCAGGAGTCACTCTCCCTCCCCCTCCCTCTCTCTCTCCAAGTGCACTGTAGGGGCTCCTACATGGCTGAAGTCTCTAAATGGGCTTATCTTGACTTACAGTGCGACTTACTTACTGCCAGAAAATGAATCTAAAGTAGAGCAGATGTGGCTGAAAATCTGATGCTGGAGAGGGCATATAGGTTGAGACCCAAATATCTCAATGCAGTTTCAACACACACCTCACGTTTCTAGGGCTGGGTGAGTAAAGGATATAGACCTAATCTATGGTCTGGGTAAGGGTTGCCAGAACGTGCCACACGCACAGATCTGGGATCAGCTAATACCTACAGTCAGTATGAAAGAGCACAGTTAGAAAGATATGGCATATAGAAGCAAACCGGATGGACATCATGAAAATGATCGGAGAGGTTGAGGGTAGAGGAAGTTCAGAAGTAGAAACAAACAAAATATAATTATTGTAAAATTGACTGTGTCCATAAAATGCATATAGTATGTATAAACTGGAAGTAGAGGCCTAAGCATTGTTGTTCATTAGTTTACTCCAATTAGGGAAGGGGTGGTGGGTTGGAAAGTAATATGTATATATATGTATGAATATGTATTTATATGTATGTCTGTGTATATGTATGTGTATGTGTATGTATATATATGTATATATATATATTTGCGAAAAAAATGGGGGATTGGAAGTGATGCAGACAATTATATTGATGGAAGTTACAATCTATCTGTAATATTAAAGCTGATCTACCCCCTAAAAAAATAAATATATACAAATTAATAATAATAATAATAATAATACCTACAGTCAGTAGCCAAAGCCAATCTGGAGCCAAATGCACAACTGGCCATAGGTCTGTGGGCAGGCACCACTCCTCCTACAGATGTCATGATATCTGCAGCACTTCAAGCACTACTCCATCAAGTGAATGTCTTTACTAAGAGGAGTGGGGGGAGGGGTAAATAACAATTGTTCTAGATGCCATTATAAGACCAAAGACTTGGAACTGAGGGACTGGGAGGACCGTGAACTCATGTAGGCCCATAGATGTTACAGTATGTGTAGGCCTCTCACCCGCTGACTTCTGTTGCAACTGCGAAGACACATTTCAGTTGAATGCATTCAGTTGTACAACTGAATAGGTATCCCCTTTCCCTTCCCTTTCTAAATCCCTGCCTAGAGGCAACAGACACACACAATCATCAGCCTTTTATCATACACAACCATACACCTAAAGAATAAGCACACTGCACAACACTATACAGTATAGAGCCCATCGGATAAAGTGTGAAGTTAAGCCTAGACACTGATCTTAAGTTTGTTGGCTTTCTCCCCCCAATGGTTGAGGTTACGATTTGGGAAGGGTAAACTGATTCCAGATCTGCGCTTATGGGCTACTTCTACCTCCAGCATGATCCATACAGGTCAGTGAGTGGTGGTCTTACCTCGCAGGTGAAAGTAGCTGAGGTGATTTGCGATGGCTTGTTGCACACTCTCCTGCCCGCAGAGTTTGACCCCGCTGGGGAAAAGGACGTCGCGCTTCTGCCGGTGGATAGCTCCATGGTCCTTGTGTGAAACCTTGAGGACATGTGAATGAACTATGCTTTGAGGATCCGATAGAATGGGTGAAATGCCAACTGTTTTGAAATAAAGATCCTGTCCGTCAGGAAGAATAGGTCCTTCCTCAGATGCAGCATCTGTGATAAAACATTAAACACATAACATTGGACAACTCCATCTTCATTGCAGATGTGTAGATTGATTATTTATTAGTCCTACCTACCTACATACATACATACCTGTTCTTATTCCCAAAAGTGCAAACGCTAAAATGAACGCAAGTGTACACAAAATACATTTCAATAAAGAGTCCGACATCTTAAATCCGTAGTAGTTTTAACTCTGAGGGGTTGAAAAATGGTATTAGTCCCTCTTTACGAGTTTGCATAGTTCGAAATTCAGCAAACGCATCAGTTTTTCACCAATAATTATGAAGTGATTAGATAAAGTGATGTCCTCCGTTCCTCCTTTCCTCCTTTCTTCCGTCGGCTGAGGAAGGTGTGTCGCGTGGTGCTGAAGAACAGCTCATGGCCACCTCAGGTAGGCAGATGGCCCATTGCGAGAGGGAGATTTTCTTTGCTCTCTAATCTTGTTTGCTAAACCCTTTAGAGCAGCTTGTCAAGAAGTTACTGGTGTAATACTGGGATGGGTGCTTAGTGCGAGGGAAACATGGATGAGAGAGAGAGAGGGGAAAGGGGGAGGGAAGAGAGGAGAGGCCACCCGCAGAGAGAGACGACTGTAAGTGCAAGGTACCAGACAGTCCTGGTCAAAATGAAACTCAACTCAAGGCTGGAGCTGGCTGAGGCCTATATTTTCAGTCTGTTGTAGAACTAACGGATAGCGTATCTCACTAAATCTGCACCTCAGGGTAATGTTAATTCAGGTTTATGATCTGAGCAGGTCAGCACTGATTTAATCCATCATAGGTCATAGCCTATAGGGCCAGGAGACATGGACTAGGAAACACTGAGTTTAACCATAATGACATAGCCAGATCTGGTTGTGCTTTAGCCAACTCCTCGATCATTTGTAGTTGTGTCAAAGAGACTGGTTGAGTCATGTTTGTTCATGGCCCAATGAAATCCTCCATTTATAAAACATCTTCTGGATGGGAAGGATTTAGAGGGTTTAAATAGATCATCATCAGGGAATTAGGTACTGTGTAGCCGGAGTCTAAATTTAGGGAGCCTCACCTCAGCTAAAGTCAAGCAGATAAGATTCCAGTGATATCTCATATGTTATTAATACACAACCTGGGTAGACCTACTGGTCATCATATTGTACAGGCTACACACACACACACACACACACACACACACACACACACACAAAACATTAAGAACATCTGCTCTTTCCATGACATAGAGTGACCAGGTGAATCCAGGTGAAAGCTCTGATCCCTTATTGATGTCACTTGTTAAATCTACCAATCAGTGTAGATGAAGGGGAGGAGACAGGTTAAAGAAGGATTTTCAAGCCTTGAGATATGGATTATGTGTGTGCCATTCAGAGGGTTAATGGGCAACACAAAATATTTAAGTGCGTTTGAACGGGGTATGGTAGTAGGCACTCCGGTTTGTGTCAAGAACTGCAACGCTGCTGGGTTTTTCACGCTTAACAGTTTCCTGTGTGTGTCAAGAATGGTCCACCACCCAAAGGACATCCAGCTAATTGGACACAACTGTGGGAAGCTTTGGAGTCAACATAGGCCAGCATCCCTGTGGAATGCTTTCAACACCTTGCCCTGTCCATGCCCTGAAGAATGTTCTGAGGCCAAAAGAGGGTGTAACTCAATATTACAAAGGTGTTCTTAAAGTTTTGTACACTCAGTGTACATCACATCATGTAGGCTACATAGACACATGCATGTGTGTGTAGGTCACGGACACACACAGTCAGACATGGGAGTGATTATGAAACAAGTGGTCTAGGAGCTAGGAGATGATGGGCTGAGAGGCGGCAGACAAAATCCTCTCAGTGTGTGTGTGTGTGTGTGTGTGTGTGTGTGTGTGTGTGTGTGTGTATGTGTAAAGTTGGGAGCTTAGGTTCAAACTACCACTTTCACCCTTCACTCTCCCTTGTGGATATGGATCCTGTTGTTACACTGAGTGACCAAAATGGCAGTTTTATGTGCTCTCACGATGGCTTTTCATAACCAGTGTTGGGGTCCAATTATTTAATTTAGTCAATTCAGAAAAGGACCTGAAATTCCAAATCAATTTCAAATAAGATGGTGAGCTACTGTATATCCATGAGAGGAATCAGTCCATCCATTAGAGGGTTAACAGTTTCAAAAGTTACAGAGTAGAAGACAATGTACTGTAGGTTAATGATATTTAATTCAGCTTAATAATGGGAATAAAGAGTTCAGCGGGTGGACAGACAGTGATCCTGAGCTAATCAACTTACTGTAGCACTTACTGTTGCACGCAATCACTCTTTGTTGTAGTACAAACACTAGCCTATCTACAGTGAGGGAAAAAAGTATTTGATCCCCTGCTGATTTTGTACGTTTGCCCACTGACAAAGACGTGATCAGTCTATAATTTTAATGGTAGGTTTATTTGAATAGTGAGAGAGAATAACAACAACAAAATCCAGAAAAACGCATGTCAAAGATGTTATAAATTGATTTGCATTTTAATGAGTGAAATAAGTGTTTGACCCCTCTGCAAAACATGACTTAGTACTTGGTGGCAAAGCCCTTGTTTGCAATCAGAGAGGTCAGACGTTTCTTGTAGTTGGCCACCAGATTTGCACACATCTCAGGAGGGATTTTGTTCCACTCCTCTTTGCAGATCTTCTCCAAGTCATTAAGGTTTCGAGGCTAACGTTTGGTAACTCGAACCTTCAGCTCCCTCCACAGATTTCCTATGGGATTAAGGTCTGGAGACTGGCTAGGCCACTCCAGGACCTTAATGTGCTTCTTCTTGAGCCACTCCTTTGTTGCCTTGGCTGTGTGTTTTGGGTCATTGTCATGCTGGAATACCCATCCACGACCCATTTTCAAAGCCCTGGCTGAGGGAAGGAGGTTCTCACCCAAGATTTGACGGTACATGGCCCCGTCCATCGTCCCTTTGATGCGGTGAAGTTGTCCTGTCCCCTTAGCAGAAAAACACCCCCAAAGCATAATGTTTCCACCTCCATGTTTGACGGTGGGGATGGTGTTCTTGGGGTCATAGGCAACATTCCTCCTCCTCCAAACACGGCGAGTTGAGTTGATGCCAAAGAGCTCCATTTTGGTCTCATCTGACCACAACACTTTCACCCAGTTCTCCTCTGAATCATTCAGATGTTCATTGGCAAACTTCAGACGGGCCTGTATATGTGCTTTCTTGAGCAGGGGGACCTTGCGGGCGCTGCAGGATTTCAGTCCTTTATGGCGTAGTGTGTTACCAATTGTTTTCTTGGTGACTATGGTCCCAGCTGCCTTGAGATCATTGACAAGATCCTCCCGTGTAGTTCTGGGCTGATTCCTCACCGTTCTCGGCTGATTCCTCACCGTTCTCATGATCATTGCAACTCATGATCTTGCATGGAACCCCAGGCCGAGGGAGATAGACAGTTATTTTGTGTTTCTTCCATTTGCGAATAATCGCACCAACTGTTGTCACCTTCTCACCAAGCTGCTTGGCGATGGTCTTGTAGCCCATTCCAGCCTTGTGTAGGTCTACAATCTTGTCCCTGACATCCTTGGAGAGCTCTTTGGTCTTGGCCATGGTGGAGAGTTTGGAATCTGATTGATTGCTTCTGTGGACAGGTGTCTTTTATACAGGTAACAAGCTGAGATTAGGAGCACTCCCTTTAAGAGTGTGAGTGCTCCTAATCTCAGTCCGTTACCTGTATAAAAGACACCTGGGAGCCAGAAATCTTTCTGATTGAGAGGGGGTCAAATACTTATTTCCCTCATTAAAATGCAAATCAATTTATAACGTTTTTGACATGTGTTTTTCTGGATTTTTTTGTTGTTATTCTGTCTCTCACTGTTCAGCCTATGCTACCCTCCAGTCCCTCGACTTCTTGGCGCTGACGGAAACATGGATTACCACTGAAAACACTGCTACTCCTACTGCTCTCTCCTCGTCTGACCATGTGTTCTCGCATACCCGAGAGCATCTGGTCAGCGGGGTGGTGGCACAGGAATCCTCATCTCTCCCAAGTGGACATTCTCAATTTTTCCCCTGACCCATCTGTCTATCTCCTCATTTGAATTCCATGCTGTCACAGTCACTAGCCCATTTAAGCTTAATATCCTTGTCATCTATCGCCCTCCAGGTTCCCTTGGAGAGTTCATCAATGAGCTTGACGCCTTGATAAGTTCCTTTCCTGAGGATGGCTCACCCCTCACAGTTCTGGGGGATTTCAACCTCCCTACGTCTACATTTGACTAATTTCTCTCTGCCTCCTTCTTTCCACTCCTCTCCTCTTTTGACCTCACCCTCTCACCGTCCCCCCTACTCACAAGGCAGGCAATACGCTTGACCTCATCTTTACTAGATGCTGTTCTTCTACTAATCTCACTGCAACTCCCCTCCATGTCTCCGACCACTACTTTGTATCCTTTTCTCTCTCGCTCTCCTCCAACACTACTCACTCTGCCCCTACACAGATGGTAATGTGCCGTCGCAACCTTCGCTCTCTCTCTCCCGCTACTCTCTCCTCTTCCATCCTATCATCTCTTCCCTCTGCTCAAGCCTTCTCCCTCCAATCTCCTGATTCTGCCTCCTCAACCCTCCTCTCCTCCCTTTCTGCATTCTTTGACTCTCTATGTCCCCTATCCTCCCGGCCGGCTCGGTCCTCCCCTCCAGCTCCGTGGCTTGATGACTCATTGCGAGCTCACAGAACAGAGCTCCGGGCAGCTGAGCGGAAATGGAAGAAAACTAGACTCCCTGCGGACCTGGCATCTTTTCACTCCCTCCTCTCTACATTTTCTTCATCTGTTTCTGCTGCTAAGGCCACTTTCTACCACTCTAAATTCCAAGCATCTGCCTCTAACCCTAGGAAGCTCTTTGCCACATTCTCCTCCCTGCTGAATCCTCCCCCCCCCCCCCCTCTCTGTGGATGACTTCGTCAACCATTTTGAAAAGAAGGTTGACGACATCCGATCCTCGTTTGTTAAGTCAAATGACACTGCTGGTCCTGCTCACACTGCCCTACCCTATGCTTTGACTTCTTTCTCCCCTCTCTCTCCAGATAAAATCTTGCGACTTGTGACGGCAGGCCACCCAACAACCTGCCCGCTTGACCCTATCCCCTCTTCTCTTCTCCAGACCATCTCCGGTGACCTTCTCCCTTACCTCACCTCGCTGATCAACTCATCCTTGACCGCTGGCTATGTCCCTTCCGTCTTCAAGAGAGCGAGAGTTGCACCCCTTCTCAAAAAACCAACACTCGATCCCTCTGATGTCAACAACTACAGACCAGTATCCCTTCTTTATTTTCTCTCCAAAACTATTGAGCGTGCCGTCTTTAGCCAACTCTCTTGCTATCTCTCTCAGAATGACCTTCTTGATCCAAACCAGTCAGGTTTCAAGACTGGTCATTCAACTGAGACTGCTCTTCTCTGTGTCACGGAGGCTCTCCGCACTGCTAAAGCTAACTCTCTCTCCTCTGCTCTTGTCCTTCTAGACCTGTCTGCTGCCTTTGATACTGTGAACCATCAGATCCTCCTCTCCACCCTCTGCGAGCTGGGCATCTCCGGCGCGGCTCACTCTTGGATTGCGTCCTACCTGACCGGTCGCTCCTACCAAGTTGCGTGGCGAGAAGCTGTCTCCGCACCACGTGCTCTCACCACTGGTGTCCCCCAGGGCTCAGTTCTAGGCCCTCTCCTATTCTCCCTATACACCAAGTCACTTGGCTCTGTCATATCCTCACATGGCCACTCCTATCATTGCTACGCTGACGACACACAACTAATCTTCTCCTTTCCCCCTTCTGATAACCAGGTGGCGAATCGCATCTCTGCATGTCTGGCAGACATATCAGTATGGATGACGGATCACCACCTCAAGCTGAACATTGGCAAGACGGAGCTGCTATTCCTCCCGGGGAAGGACTGCCTGTTCCATGATCTCGCCATCACGGTTGACAACTCCGTTGTGTCCTCCTCCCAGAGTGCGAAGAGCCTTGGCGTGACCCTGGACAACACCCTGTCGTTCTCCGCTAACATCAAGGCGGTGACCCGATCCTGTAGGTTCATACTCTACAACATTCGGAGAGTACGACCCTGCCTTACACAGGAAGCGGCACAGGTCCTAATCCAGGCACTTGTCATCTCCCGTCTGGATTACTGCAACTCGCTGTTGGCTGGGCTCCCTGCCTCTGCCATTAAACCCCTACAACTCATCCAGAATGCCGCAGCCCGTCTGGTGTTCAACCTTCCCAAGTTCTCTCACGTCACCTCGCTCCTCCGCACACTCCACTGGCTTCCAGTTGAAGCTCGCATCTGCTACAAGACCATGGTGCTTGCCTACGGAGCTGTGAGGGGAACGGCACCTCCGTACCTTCAGGCTCTGATCAGTCCCTACACCCAAACGAGGGCATTGCGTTCATCCACCTCTGGCCTGCTGGCTCCCCTACCTCTGCGGAAGCATAGTTCCCGCTCAGCCCAGTCAAAACTGTTCGCTGCTCTGGCACCCCAATGGTGGAACAAGCTCCCTCACGATGCCAGGACAGCGGAGTCACTCACCACCTTCCGGAGACATTTGAAACCCCACCTCTTTAAGGAATACCTGGGATAGGATAAAATAATCCTTCTACCCCCCCCTTACCCCAACCCAAAAACAAAAAAAAACATTGTAAAGTGGTGATCCCACTGGCTATAAGGTGAATGCACCTATTTGTAAGTCGCTCTGGATAAGAGCGTCTGCTAAATTACGTAAATGTAAAATGTTCAAATAAACCTACCATTAAAATTATAGACTGATCATTTCTTTGTCAGTGGGCAAACGTACAAAATCAGCAGGGGATCAAATACTTTTTTCTCCTCACTGTATAGGCCATCACCTGAGTCTAACGTATATAGAAACCTTTGGTTTTGGGAGGATTTGTTCGCCAAAGCTAAGCTCATTAGTTCCAATGTAATTGTCTTGAAACCGCCATTGCACAATGGTCCTGCCAATTCTTTCGCCCAAAGTCTGGGACAGTGATGGAGACTTTGGCCACTTGCCTCTAACAGTTCAAAGACATTGGCCCTTGAGGTGACCTGATAAGATCAGATAGGTAGCAATATAGAATAGCTCCACTTTGCCCTCTGATTGGCTAGGTGGAATTCCGGCCATGTCTTTGAACTCTTAGAGGCAAGTGGCCAAAGTCTCCATCACTGTCCCAGACTTTGGGCGAAAGAATTGGCAGGACCATTGTGCTGCTACATAATATGCCATTTAGCAGACGCTTTTATCCAAAGCGACTTACAGTCATGCGTGCATACATTTTTGTGTATGGGTGGTCCCGGGGATCGAACCCACTACCTTGGCGTTACAAGCGCCGTGCTCTACCAGCTGAGCTACAGAGGACCACGGTGACTACAATGGCCTGCGTAGCCCCACTCACTCTGTAATGCCCTGAGCTCTTTACCCTGTAACCTGATATCATTGACTGGACAACTGGGCAGCCATTGAGGCACAAAGCATCCTGCACAGATAGCTGGCATGTGGACAGTGTTTCGGCACAAAATGACTGCCACAGATCACTCAGGTAAGTGCTACCCATCTGTGGTGGATGAGGCGGGTTCCCTCCAAAACAATCATCTATCTACTGTAGCTATACTGACTTAACTATAAAATGAGTAACAAAAGCATCACTGCATGGAATTAGTGATATCACCAGTGTTGAATGTTAACTCTGGATGTAGCTCAGTTGGTAGAGCATGGCGTTTGCAACGCCAAGGTTGTGGGTTCGATTCCCACAGGGGGCCAGTATGAAGAAAAAATTAATGTAGGCACTCAATAACTGTAAGTCGCTCTGGATAAGAGCGTCTGCTAAATGACTGTAAATGTAAAAAACTCTTGCTGACTGTTTGATGCTCGTTGTTCTTTATCATTCATAGAGAAGGTAACAGAGGTTTGGAACATTGTAGTCCTTATCCGGTTCCATTCACACCCACTCTAGAGCTGGGACCATCATCAGGCGCTTTTCCCCACCCACACTGGTCTAAATTGGGAGGTAGTGAAGAGGAGCAGTGGGATTACATGGTGTCAGAGGGGTGTCACGGAGGGTCTGTCTGAGACAGAGACAGTTAATAGACCTAATCTGGGAGACAGTAAGACCTTGTTTGGAGACTAGACAGCCTCATGCCAACAACAACAATGTGGGATGGTACCAAGAGAGATTAGACTGTGATGTAATCATTCCTAAGAGTCTTAAGGAAGTATATCAGCATAAGGAATAGAGGGACCTCCCATTGGGAGTGAATGGAACTGATTAGGACAGTTGGCACCCATGTAGAACTCAATGTTTCTTACATTATGCATCTACAAAAAGGGGTTTAGGTGAAGGGCGTGGCATTTTTAAGCCAATTTCCTGCAATTCTCCAAATTCCTCCATGGAGCCGAGATACATTTATACATTTTTAAAGTTCATTTCCTGCAATTCTACACATTTAGCCATGGAGCTCAGAGAACATTTTGCAGTTTTAAAGAATTTCCTGCAATTCTATGCATTTTGCTATGGCTAAAGCCGTGTTCTTTAGCTCAAACTTAATAACAAAATCAATACTGTTAAATGAATTGTTTTTGGAATTTTCAATTCCCCTGACTGTCTAGCTTTTATTTTGGTGATTGTTAGTTCTCCAAGATTATATATATTTTTTAAAGATATGTCCATTATCATTTCACATACTTTATATCTTGTTTTAGTGGTTTAAGTTTACACTGAAAGTGTTTTCAATCCCGAAAATTAATTAAAAAAATAAATAAATGGATTTAGGTGTCCTGAAAAACCCTCCAAAGGGTTTCTATTGCAGAAAAATCCCTGCTCTTACATTCCCTTACTAACACCAACACATACAAACTAAGATTGCTAACATTTGACCTGGAATCACCTAGAATCAGCATTTACCTCTCGGCAACCAATAATATTATTCCTGGAGATTTACATGTACCTAACCTCAGTCCGTCCAGTTTAGGTGTTGTGTTTGTGTAACCCTCTTATCAGACAGCAGGGGGTCCTGCAAAATGTTGCGGTATCATACCCCATACACACACAAACACACCACACAAATCAGATCAACACAATGTAATGTGTAGGGGTTGTTTCTGGACAGGGCCATCGTCTCTTCTTTCCTAAAACCTACAAAATCCCCCCCCCCCCCCCCACGCCCATCAGCTTTACCCAGAAATATGTGTGTGTGTGTTTATGTTCTACCTGGAGCGTCTTTCACCCGGAGGGTAAATTGGTTGTGCCAGTACACCACCTCCAGGGTGTCCATAGTGGTTGCGATTCAAAATGTCAGAAAATCGTCACAAAATTAACAGAAAATGATTTGTAATTCCGACTACAAATGCATTTATTATATTTTATATTCAAAACACATTTTTTCATCAAAATGTACATTTTAAAACAAAGTCCACATATAAAAATCAAACTGACATAACATTTACAATAGAATCACATAGGGGGGAAATTCATCGTAAAACAGGTAAAAGAATAAAAGGGAGACCCTGTTGAATCTGATCTCGTGTTAAATGAGGCTATAGTGGTGGTATGTTGTCCTATCTTTATGGTGCAGTGGGGACAGACTCTTTAAAGGGGCATTCCACTGAAACGGTAAAGAATAACAGTTTTAACTACTGAATTTCTGTGGAATGACCCTTTAATGCACCAACTTCAAACAAGAACCTGAGCTATAGCAACTCAACAGCTACTACAGCAAGTCTTACATATCCATCCCCAGAGGGATTTAAGTCATTAATGCAACATCCTTTGATGTTAGGGACTAATTTCATGTTGACATGATGAGACATCTGCATGTACTGTATGTTTGAACAGCCCTGCTGGCCCGTGAAACAACTATATACGCTTATTGTCTAAGAAATCATATCACTGGCTGAAATGTCAATTTCCTTGTTGCTCAGCATGAGCAGAATCCCAAGGCGGTTACCGTGCCTAACTGCCTACATTTCCCATGTTTCCTATACTACCCACCATGCCCCTCTGGTGTCTATACAGGTGCAGCACCAGGTCCCTGATTTCGTCTCGTTTCCTCCGCACCTGTTGCCGTGGGAACCAGTGTTCTAGGCGCAGGGGGAGGTCAAAGTGCACCAAAGGGTCCTAAAGGGAGAAACGTCAGGAGAGAGAGACAAGGTGTATGTAGGTGTATGTCAGCATATGTGTTTGTGAGTATGTTCTCATAAGAGAAAAACATAAGTAACCTTGCCTGAGACCTGAAGACTCAGTTGGCTAACATGGTCTTGAGTTGTTCAGACACCACACCAGTTCAATACCCGACTGGTTACAGGTGTGAGTGTGTGAATGCGTATGTATATGCGTGTTCTTATTCCATGTGCACAGTTACCTGCAGGAAACTCTCAACGTATTGCAGCAGGTATAGGCCGCAGTCACTGCTATTGTCCTGTAGGGGGACCTTACAGTGGGAGCCTCTCATCTGCTCAGAACTGAACTCACGCACAGAGCCCCGACGCACCTCCCACTCTGACTGCAGGTACCTGACACAGAGAGAGACAGACAGAGAGTACATTAAACACCCATAAAGGTACATATTCACACACACACAGGCATATACACACCATTCCATTCTCTCTGCAGATATTTAACACGCACACGCACAGGAATAGTGAACACACTCACTCTCGTAAGAGTTTGAAGACACGCTCATGGAGGGAGAACTTGAGGGAGTCCATGATGAGAATGCAGGGTCTGAGGAGAGAAGAGAAAGACATTTCACAATTGCATATAAACATCCAGTTATGAGCTCTTTCTATGTGTGTGTATGTGTTTCCACTCACCTTTTACAGACATTGTCTCTGTGGCAGGTCTTCTCAGTGCAGTCCTAGGGAGAAGAAGAACGACAGAAGGTAAGAAAGAGAACAACAGAGTAAGAAAGAAGGAAAACAATTAAATGCGAGAAATTGAGACCCAACATAAGAGCCCTAAAGACAGTTGTGTCTTACCGGAGGACCAGGAGGTGGCTGGAGTACTGATTCACCCTGGACAACACTCTCTGAAACAACTAGAGAGAGGAAACATCATCATCAGCAGCAGCATTATCCTCCTCATGTTACAGCCCAGGTATTTATGCTGCTGTTATTCCCTTATCCCATTGATAATGTAGTTGTTGTTACTGTCATGATGTATGTTATCGCAGCACAGTGACATAAAGAATGGGATTTGTGTCTTAGTCTCATAAAAACCCAGTAGATTAAAGCCTATTGAGTTCCAGCTTCATTCTCTGTTTCTGTCTGTGACTGGTGTTCTGATTGTTTTTGGATTATAAAAATCCAGAGCAGCTCTTAAACAATTCTCTCTCTCTCCCTTACTGTTCTGGCTCCATCCAATGTTAATACTAATTGTAATTATTTTGCACTATAGCCTATTTATTGCCTTACCTCCATAACTTGCTACATTTGCACACACTGTATATATATTTTCTGTTGTATTTTTTGACTTTGTTTTTTTTTACCCCATATGTAACTCTGTGTTGTTGTTTTTAATCGCACTGCTTTGCTTTATCTTGGCCAGGTCGCAGTTGTAAATGAGAACTTGTTCTCAACTGGCTTACCTGGTTAAATAAAGGTGAAATAAAAAAAATCCTACCACATAAGGTGCATTTATCTAAACCACCCATAGTCATACTTCCTAAACCAATGCAAATATTCATTAATGTTGAAATATTATGTAAGTTTGATGGTTTCACAAAGGTCTAATGTCCTGTGAGAGACATGATGAGAATTGTTTAGTCACACATACCTGTAACTGTCAGTTTGTCTTGGTTGTCAGTGTTGGTCGGACCAGGGGGAACTTCAGTGACACCATTTAGCTTTTCAGACCCGGAGGCCTCCTCTTCAGCCTGTGCCTTGCCTGACTTCTCCCCCCCTGTTCCCCTCAGCGAGGCTGGGTTGCTCCACTCCTCACACTGGGGATCCTCCAGGCCAGGGAAGCAGATCACCACCAGGTACCAGTGGGCTCTGCAATACAAGGAAGAAAGCACTATAAGTCACATGGTTTATTGATGCGTGTTAGTGTGTGTGAGTGTGTGTGTACACTTGTTTTCCTACATTATCAGGACCCCAATGTCCTAACGATTCAGCCAAATGTCCTAAAAGCGTAGGAATTTGCTAAAATGCTATTTTAAGCTTAAGGGTTAGGTTTAGGGTTTTGGGGTTAAGGTTAGGGTTAGGGTTTTGGGGTTAAGGTTAGGTTAGGTTAAGGATAGGGTTAGGGTTAAGGAAAATAGGATTTTTAATAGTAAAAAAAAATGTACACCAAATGTTTTTACATCAAAGCTGTGTGTGTGTGTCACTCACTCCTGATTGACAGGCACAAACAGGAAGTCTTTCTTGAAGATGTCCACATGTCGTGTCCACGTCTTCACCCGCTGGTGCCGCCTCTGTTGCGCTCTGGGGACAGACAACACACACACACACGAAACATACACTGCAATACAAATATCAACAAAAATATACAAATACATTAATGATAAACCAAAATACACACACACACAAACACACACTTACGAGATGCTGGTGCTGTCCTCACTTGCGTTGTCTCTGCGTGTGAGCTGCTTGTAGAAGAAGCTACTGAAGACATGAGAGCGATCAGCCACATCTTGTGGAGCCCTCTCCAGGAGCAGATACCTGTTGGGACAGAGACAGAGCCATGTTGGAGTTGAAATTGTCCTCCATTTTGGCACCAAACTGTTTTGCGTACAGAGGATGTCTCTGTTAGGGGAGATACTCCATGCAATCACTGATGTCACCCTCACTTGAGGTAGAAATCGATGATGACATCATTCAGGAACTGGCCGTTGTCAAGGCACTCCAGATCTTCTGTTGTCACGGTGATCCCTCCTTTGGAAGGCGGTGGAGGAAACTGGATCAACCTAAGAACAGGAGGATGAGAAAGAAAGAAGTTAAGCCATACATCTACACTTTTCTCTACAGCAAGGGTCTCCGTCTCAGGTCCTGGAGATTAATTTCAAAGACTCAACAAGTTGTGTAGCTTGCCTGCGTGTGGGGCCCTGGTGTGTGTACCGGGTCCAATTGGAGCCAGGCTTGGGGCCCAGGGACACAGAGTAGGAGCCTCTGGTTCTGTGATGACACACTGTGTACATGGGTCTAGGCTGGACTGGACTTTCCTGGAGGGGTGACAAATGACAGAGGATGTATAATGGGTTACATGTTGTCAATTTGATTATTAATGTTAGAGCTTTGGGTTTTGTTATGGTTGAGCTTATTGACATCAGTCACACACACGTCCACACCCAAACAAATGCACTCAAAGTACTACCAACCTCAGTGAGGGGTACGATCTCTACCTCCCTCTGCTCCTCCTCCTCTGTCTGTACGTCTGTCTCTGTGTCTGGTAGTGTCTGTGACTCCCCCTCCACCTCTCTGTCCACAGTGTCCAGCTCCAGCCCAGGTGTGTCTCTGTCCTGTTCTGGTTCTTGGTCCTGGTCTGTCCTAGGCTTGGCACTGTTCTGGCCCAGTAGGGAGAGCAGCTGAGGGTCCAGTCCGGTTCTGCTGACCAGCACCAGACTGTCGTCCAATGACAGGAGGGGACTGTGGAGGTCAACCACCCCGTTGACAGGAGAGTTGCCTCGGAGCCGTGCAGCTTCGACGTGCGGGGTGTTGTTGAGACAGATGATGTCGAGGATGGAGCGAAGGAGCGCACCCTCCACCCCCTCCAGAGGGTCACGCAGAGTGAGCAAGAGGAAGGGACTGGCTTGGCCTGTGAACACACACACACAGAGAGAACACAACACAGTCAAACACATTTGCACATAGGCGTACACACGCTTGAGCAAACACCCACCCACACACACACTTTTGTTCCACAAGGCAGGCTCTCACCAGTGGGTGGGTCTAAGGCCTGTTTGATTGACAGCTCACTCAGGTCTTCTTGGACAGCGACTGCCTGGGTGTCTGACACGTAGAGGAGGAGGAGGGCAGGGGGGGGCTGCCCCCTCTCCCGCTCAACCTCCCACCCCAGCCCTCTTTCCTGTAGCTCCTCCATGTCCCAGACGCTGTACCTCCACAGCTGACAGCGCTCCACAGTCACCATCACTTCTACCAGGCCTGAAGGCTCTGAAGACAGAAGGGAGAGAGAGGGGTCAACAACCTGGTCATCTAAACCTGGGACTTATTCAGGAGACGAAGACCGGGACAAATTACTATTCCACATATAGTAGTGATCAGTAGTCACAAGGGTAAGCACTGTAGCTCTCTGCAGCCAGATTTCACCAGCAGAAAGGTGAAAAAGATCACAAAAGCCCTTAGGGTCTAACACACACACACACACACACACACACGTGTGCGCTCAGCTGAAGATGAGGATGGTGTACAGACAGACAGGAGGACCACAACAGGATCAGAGAGGGTCTATTTCAAAACAGAGTTTATATAGCCACCACACGACCGCCCCACCTGACCGCCCACCCGAGGCACAGAGGGGCTAGCGACCACACACGGTCACGTTCAGGTTGGACCAAGTAATAATGGAATTGTTCCAAAAGGATTAAAGGTTAAATAGAGGACCAGGACTGTATGGTAAAGGCTGGCGACATCATAAACAAGGTCCAGGGGTGCTGGATTACCTTGAATTGGTATGATGATTCTTTGGTTTGTGATCTGCAGAGGAGAAAAGAAAGGGCCCCGTGTCACACAAGCACTGCAAGAGTACAAGCTGCTATGTACTGAATGTCTATTCTATTATGTACTGCATCTTCTCCACAGTCGGAGCACAGTGTTCAGAGCCTTACCCTGAGGTTCCCGCTGGCCTCCCCTCGGACCCCCCCACAGTGCAGGGCAGAGAAGGACAGGCCCATATTCTCAGAGTCCTCAATGCTGGGGAAGGGGGACACCCCAAATCCTGTCACCACCACAGGCACCAACTGAAACAAACACATAAACACATTGATGAGTGACACACACACAAGTGCATGCAAGCAAACAACAACCATGCTTTCTGATAACAAGGGCACAAGAGAATCCGGATAAGCAATAAGACATAGAAAGGGTTTGTGTGTGAGAGACTTAGTTAATCAACAGATCGGTTTAACTTACAATATATATACAAAGGTATATGGACACCCCTTCAAATTAGTGGATTTGGCTATTTCGGCCACATCCGTTGCTGACAGGTGTATAAAATCGAGCACACAGCCATGCAATCTCCATAGACAAACATTGGTTGTAGAATGGCCCGTACTGAAGACCTCAGTGACTTTCAACTTGGCACTGTTATAGGATGCCACCTTTCCAACTAGTCAGTTCGTCAAATTTCTGCCCTGCTAGAGCTGCCCCCGTCAACTGTAAGTGCTGTTATTGTGAAGTGGAAACGTCTAGGAGCAACAACGGCTCAGCCACGAAGTGGTAGGCCACACAAGCTCACAGAACGGGACCGGCGAGCGTCTGTCCGTCTGTCCGCCATTGAACTCTGGAGCAGTGGAAACGCGTTCTCTGGAGTGATGAATCACGTTTCACCATCTGGCAGTCCGACGGATGAATCTGGGTTTGGCGGATGCCAGGAGAACGCTACCTGCCCGAATGCCAACTGTTTGGTGGTGGAGGAATAATGGTCTGGGGCTTTTTTTTAATGGTTCGGGCTAGGCCCCTTAGTTCCAGTAAAGGGAAATCTTAACTCTACAGCATACAATGACATTCTAGACAATTCTGTGCTTCCAACTTTGTGGCAACAGTTTGGGGAAGGCCCTTTCCTGTTTCAGCATGACAATGCCACCATGCACAAAGCGAGGTCCACACAGAAATGGTTTGTCGAGATCGGTGTGGAAGAACTTGACTGGCCTGCAGAGAGCCCTGACCTCAACCCCATCGAACACCTTTGGGATGAATTGGAACGCTGACTGCGAGCCAGGCCTAATTTCCCAACATCAGTGCCCGATCTCACGAATGATCTTGTGGCTGAATGAAGCAAGTCCCAGCAGCAAATGTTCCAACATCTAGTGGAAACCCTTCCCAGAAGAGTGGAGGCTGTTATAGCAGTAAAGGGGGGACCAACTCCATATTAATGCCCATGATTTTGGAATGAGATGTTCGACGGGCAGGTGTCCACATACTTTTGGTCATATAGTGTATGTGTGTTCATTTGTATGTGGTGCAGCCGAGGGCATTTGGCTTGTCCTCCTATGAGTTGACCGACTACAGTACGTGGGAGCTACAGTATCCCCACTCTGGCCTCTAAAGCCTGGCAGGCAGCAGGTGGTGGTTCTACCCCCTAGGGCCAGTCTAGTCACGCAATGCCCTCCCTCACTAACACCACCTGCCTCTGTACACTGATCCCTCCGTGAGCAGCCCTTTGTGACATCACCGTAATCTATAACTCTCGAGTCGCTATTCACAATTTCCCCACCGTAGGGGAAAATACAGGGAGTTCTCATTATGACAATAGATGTATTTTATATATAGCACTTTTCATACAGAATCTGTCGCTTTTAAAAAACAAACAAAAAACCTAGACTGCCGGCAAAAAAAGCCACCATTTACATGTTGCTTATGAGTGCATTTCACACTGCTTTTAGATTATAATTGGATTGTAAGGCTCGTATGAATGTCCTGCTTAACATAACGTTTGTGTCATCGTCACCAATCAACTGCATTATACTTTTAAAAAACACTTCAACCGGTAAAAACGCCCTTTGGCTAGCTTTGCTACCAGCCTATGTCAATGAGCGTTAGTGTAGAACAGGGGTATGTGTGTACCCTACTCCTCAGCCTGAAGTGTCCCCACTTGTGCCAGCGAATAGCTAGCTTTTCGTGTGGCGCTGACTGGTAAGACACCTCAAGAGGGCGGTCATGTGTTCTAGCAAGGCAGTGGTCCTAGGTTCGAGCATCGGTGTAAGCTGAATCAGGAAGTGGTATCCATTGTGAGATTGCCCTATTTTGCCATTTGGGATGTCATCCATTGTGAGATCCCCCTATTCTGTCCTTTGGGATGACATCCATTGTGAGATCCCCCTATTCTGTCCTTTGGGATGTCATCCATTGTGAGATCCCCCTATTCTGTCCTTTGGGATGTCATCCATTGTGAGATCCCCCTATTCTGTTCTCTGTGATGTCATCCATTGTGAGATCCCCCTATTCCATCCTTTGTGATGTCATAAGATTTCAGAAGTTGTTTTTGCCCACCTGAGAGTCCATCTCTGCCATCATGTCTTCCTGAGCATTGTTTCTCTGGCGCTTAGAGTCACTAGCCCCAGTCTGTGGCCGAAGGACTGAACTGCGGGACGGGGTGACTACCTCCTCCTCATCACTGGAGAGAACGACTAGAAAACACACACAGATTAAACCTGTTGCAGTTAAATATTGTTATACACTAGGCTTGGGCGGTATACCGGGGTATTTTCAAATAAAGACGGTATGATTTTAAAAATTCTAATTTTTTATTTTTACTCACAAAAATGCAATTCAATTCAGGTACATTTGATAACAACTAGCACATGGAGCAAACGGAAGTTTCGTGACGTGACCTCCACAGTTGAGCAGCACAAGAGAGGTGATCAAGTTTCACTTCAAATTCACTATTAATGTTTGCTAGCTAGATATCTTATAACTAGTATAAATTAACGATCTAAGTGCCAAATACATTTTCTCCAGCTCAGGGCTCCAGCTATGCATTTGATTTGCTAACAATAGGTAGCTAGCTTGTAAAATCAAGCTTCTTGGTTACAGCAGAGACCATCAATCCAGTCCTGGATCAAGTGTGAGTGTAGCCTATTGAGAACTTTATTAGCTGGGTTGTCTGTCCTTGCATTTAGTTTGTTCGCTTGCGCTTGTTAGCATTTACCTAGCGTCCGCTATGGGAATTCACTAGTCCTTTGTTAGCGTACTTATTTATTTATTTTTACGTTTGCAAAGAAATAGCCGCCCTTGTGTGCACTGCAGGTAATATAGTATGATACTGGAACAGTATGGAAATCTGAATACCGCCCAACCCTATATTACACACACATTGCCATGTCACTGCATGACTGTGGTGTAATGGACTTTGAAGGAAAGACAGGGACAGCAGTAATCCTGCTATGTTGGGGGGGGGGGGGGGGGGTAACCATAGCAATGGCAAAGTGTTGTAGGCCACAGCTAGTGCCATTACACACGCATGCAAGCACGCAGATACTTTTTACACACAAAAAAGGCAATACTGGCAGAGACACATACAGAAACACACTCAACCCAGTTGACACACACACAGACACAGACACACACACACACACACACACACACTGGGCATACTGACACAGACAGTCACAAGCACGCACCCAGTGGTCAGCATTAACAGACACTGTGGGGGCTTAGGCTTGGTGCCGGAAGTAGAAAAATAGACTACATTGAGCAAAGGTCATCAAAATTGTTAAAAGGTTTTAAAACAATACTAATAAATGCAACAGACAATGGATGAAGATACTCTAAACTTTTTGCATTTTTAAAATCCATCAGATATTGACTGAATTATAGCACATTAAACATTTTACTGGCACGTATAATGTTCAGTGATTTTGGTGGGAATTTAGGCATTCAATTTATTGTCAAATGTCTTTTTTTTTTTTTTTTTTTTTTTTTTTGAATGCACTCGTATACACATTTTTTAATGGTATCATGTTTTTTTTTTTTTTGTTAAAATAAAGATAATTATATGTGCCTCATTTGCATAAATACACTAACATCTACGTCATTTAGCAGACACTCTTATCCAGAGTGACTTACAAATTGGTGCATTCAATTTAACATAAACATAAAAGGGGTGGAACAGCGCACCTGCGCTGTCTAGACTGCCTCATTAATTACTGTTGTATAATTCAACAAGTGTGTCAATAGCAGGATACCTTCGGATAAAAAAAATCAACACGCTTGGCTCTGGATTACTTTACATTGTTTGCGAGAGCAGACATAATATCACTATAATCTGAGTGTTAATTTTCAGAAGTTGGGTTTCATTTCAGCGCATCTAATTTGTAAACATTTCAACCTTGGGGCGGCGCACAATTGGCCCAGCGTCGTCCAGGGTAGGGAATGGCCGGCAGAGATGTATCTCAGTTGGTAGAGCATGGCATTTGCAAAGCCAGGGTTGTGGGTTCGATTCCACTATGAAAAAAATATATATGTATGCACTCACTAACTAAGTCGCTCTGGATAAGAGCGTCTGCTATATGACAAATGTAAAATGTTATTCAATTATTACTTGTTTCAATTCCACAAAAAACAAACATCAAAATAAAGTTATCTTTCATCTCTTTCTTGTGATGTAAGTTTCGAGACGAAGCGTTAAATCCCAGATGAAGCTTTAGCGTTCTTATAGATGCAACGGAAAGACAATGTATTCCATTGAGCCCATTTCAGCCAATACCGGGCTGTGTCTGACAGGTCATTACAAAAATGTCCGTGGTCGTAACGCTCATGGGAAAAAACGACAGGCACAAGCAAGAGTATGAAAGAGTCGCAGGTGTAAAATGAAAGCAATCAATCTAGTGAGATTTAAGTGACAAGTGGATTTTGCACCCCTCAAACACATGAAATATATGGTTTAAATAGACAGATCCTCAGGAGGGCAGGGCATGCGCGTTGCTACTACATTATAATGTAACCATTCCAGGAGGGGGAGGAATCTGTGTGTTTGTTTATTTCTGTATGTTTGTTTCAATAAGAGAGATGGGGTGAAAGAAGCACACACACCAGGAGTGAAGGTATGCAGTGTACAGTGCGCTCTATACTCACTGGGTTCAGCAGGGCTGGGTTTGGGCGACCTATCCTGGCTGGAGGAGGACAGGCTCAGCCTCAGGGTTCCTCTCCTCTCCCTTCCACAGCTGGGGTTAGAGGGGCTAACAACTTCCCCGTCTTCCCCCACAGTGACTACCATCAAGGTCCCGTCAAAGTCGGAGGGATCCACCTCTACCTCTATGGATGCTACATTGGTGTCTCTGCCCCCTGTCCCCTCCAGACAGAGCCGTTTGGGAGGCAGTCCTCCCACGACTCTGGACTCCCCGGACAGGCGCAGCACGCTCCCCCTGGAGCGCCTGGAGGTGTCTGTGGTCAAGCCCTCCGCCACTCCATCCTTCATCCCTCCATCCTTCACCTGTCCATTACAGTAGAGCGCAGACTCCCTCCTACATCTCTCCCTCTGGAAACAGAGAGATAAAGGTTGCGTTTGGCTGGGGACCGGTTGTCTAATGGTTTGGATTCCAGCTTGCAGGTTTTTGGCTTTAGCCTTAAAGTCAGTCAACTTTAATGTCAGTATTAAGGTAACTTATATCCAGAGATCCTACCTCAGCGTGTGTGGATTCGCTTAAACCTGAATTGGACTTCCTGGTCCTGGTGGATTGTGGGTAATGCTTTTCCTGGTGCCTGTCCCCCTCAGTAAAGGTCACCTCCTCCAGGGGTACCCCTGACCCACACCTCCCTGACACACCACCCTCTGCAGAGTAAAGGGACGGTGATAAAGTTATCACACCAAATACAATAAACATGTTACTACTCTCCAGAAAGTAGGGCAGCAGATATGGAAAAACAAATGACCGTAAGATAATTAAATCAACTTTGCCTGTGTGTGTGTATGTAAGAGAGGAAGGAAGGTGCAGATTCAGCAGGTCTTTGTTTTACAGCTCTATAAAGTAAAGTAAAGTGTTTGTTTATTTACAACAGGATTGAGTCCAGGAATACTGCAGAGCCTTTCCAATAAGGAGGCGGGAGAACGGTAGGAGTGTGTGTGTGTGTGATATCTTCACTGCATCTCTTGGGCCTCATAACCGTTGCATAAATTTAACACTAAATATCTGCGTGCGCCATTTCTGAAAAGACTTAGTACGCAGAAAAATATTGTGATTTCTAAACTTGCCGCACGCCGTTATAAACCAGACCTGTCGTAAAACTGTGCGCACGTGAACGAGCATTATAACGCCGCCTGAAAAACACCCATCATTCACCTTTTATGGTGACAATAACACCCTTATTTGCAGTATACTTTGGAAGTATTGGACTTAGGCCAAGACAGTATCTAAAGGAAATAGCAATGCATTGCAAACTTGATCAAATGTCTTTGGAGGTGTTGGCAGAATGTTTTCTTTTGCAGTGACATTTGCTGTATTTGACCATTTCTGAAAGACAAAAACAATTGCAAATTGTTGTGGATCTGTAAACAGATTGTTTGAATGCAATGTTTCACCTTCACTTTTTCCCCGAACATAAATATGCTGCACTGCCCCGCGAATTCTGAAACATGATCTACTCTGAAATTTTTTTAAACTACAGTAGGCCTACTTATAGTGGTAGCCTACAAATGTCAATGCAAAATATAAACTGCCTGTTCACCGGTTAAATTCTACTGTGTTATAAACCGCGCTCCCTGACGGATGCATAGAGCAAAAACTTGAAATTACAAAAATTTGAAATTATAATAGCATATCTAATAGGCCCAATTAAATGAGAGATGCACATGGTAAAATGTTTGCATCTTGTTATTATATTTAGCTAGGCTACCTATTTTTTTGTTATGAATAAGAGTGTCATATTACTTTTGCCTTCTTGCAATGCAATACGTCAACCACTAGAAAGTTTGCGGGAGGATAAGCACATTCTAAAGTCAAGTTCACTTTTTTTCCGTGAAAACTGGCGCACACATGTTTTAGGGCATATTTTGTGCGTATGCAATTTTTATATATGAGGCCCCTGGTCCTCACCATTCTCCTCTCCTATTTCATTCTCTTCTTCCTCTGATCCCCCTCTGTGGTGTGACCTAAACAAGAGAGAAAGAAGGAATGAAAGAAAGTCAGAAGCCACCCAAACAAAATTCTACTGTCTGTATGCTTACTCTGTGCTCTGTGTTTTAACTCTTGATCGCTCACTGGCATCCTAAATTCAGCAACATTTAGCCCAGCATTACCTCCTGTCCTTGCGGGTCGAGATGGGTGTGGGGTGGTCATGGGGTCTCTTTCTGTGTTGGGGGTCATCTCTCCGATCCTCCCTCCCCTCTCTGCTGCTCTGAGACACCCTCCTCTGCCCACTCCCCACCCATGACTCGCTCTTTCGCTCTCCATTGCCGGTCATCTGGCCACGCCTTTTCTTGTCCAGGTAGGCCAGCCCCTGTTCAGTCTTTAAAACGTCTGTGAGGACCAACTGGATCTGCCTAATGAAGGAAGGAACAGAACCAGTCAGAACCTTTACAGCCCTACGACCATTCTGTGTCATCGTGACCTGATATGACATTCCGGCTTATCTGATGACCATTCTGACCAATAGGGAAACTGTGAGGCTAAAATGGGGAGGGGCAGACAGGTGGAATGGGGTTGATAGGGCCAGGCAGTGAGTCTGTGTGGTAAAGATAAGCACTGCTGCTGCAGCTATATCTCTACAGTACCAGTAGTGGTGGTGTACACGGAGCACGTAAGCTACCTTTGAGAATAATACTTAGGGGAAGAGCCCCATCTGTGGAACGTTTGGAGAACTGCACTCAATGACATAAAGTGGCTTAATTCTACTTTACCGTGCAAAGGCTCCCAATTAGTTCACAGATAATAACATGAATTCAAATGTATATTTTGGCAGAATAAGAGAAAGACAAAGGCTGTATCTTACTAACTGACCATGTTATAGAGTAAAATCATCTATGAACCTACAACAAGTCTAATCTAACCAGACTATGTATGCTTGCTTCCTAACATAACTTTCCATCTGTGGCTCCATAAATGCTGCTCCTCACCTGTCCATTGCCGCTTGGGCTAAAGCCACCTGGCCATGATCCAAAGAGATGGATCCATTCTGCTGACGGGAATCTTGGAGTTTGATTCTGTCTCCAGCAATCTGGGACCAATGAATCTGTTGGAGAAAGAGAGGGAGGAGGAAAGTTACTTACCCACTGGCCTAACCACAATATTAAAACCTCAGTGAAAAAGGTTAAAGGTGCAATCTGTCGTTTCATTTATTTTCTGCCATTTTAATGTTGTGTGTGTGTGTGAGTGTGCGTGCGTGGGACATAAGGTGAGACATTTTTGGGGTCAGCTAAGGTCTTTCAGGTATAATTGTGTTTCTTACTAAATGTTTGACTCCATAAGCCCTACTTAGTCTGCCCTACTTAGGCTAGGCGAACTGAACGAGTGTGCTCGCATTCTCCCTTAAAAGACCTTCGCTTGAAAAACAAGAAAAAAGCAGCAATAGTAGCATTTGTCCATCTTGAGACACCGTAGCCAGTATACACTTCCTCAGATGTCTGACTTAATCTAAGATAACTCATGAAATCTGTCATGAATTTTTACGTTTTCGTCGAGATCTTAGTCGTGCAATTATACATCTAACTAAGATGTTTGTTGCAGTATTTCTCAACTGAAAAAATTTGCATGAAAGTGATTTGTCTCTCGTTGAATGACAACAAACACTTCATTGAAGAATCCCTACTGTTGAACAATCACAGACAAAAGGGCGTAGACTTCAGCTTGCCTCAAGAAAAAATGCTGGGTGCAGGAACTGAAAAAACCCTTGACGAAAACCAAAACGAACCAAAATGTCACTAAATGCCGTCATAATATATGCACGAACTGTTCCAAACTGTTTCAGATGGGAAGCATGCGGACGCCTTACGAGAAAGGTGACCCAAAGAGAATAACATCTACCTGTGCCTCTTCATTCCCACATCCCGACTCTGAAGAAAGGAGGGTCTTGGGGATTTTGAGTGGACTTCCCATCTAAAAAGCAGAAAGGGGTACTGTTACTTTGCTCACTGTTGTTGATTATAGTTCTTGCATACTGACTGAGAAAAAGACTAGGAATCCCAATGAATGAATATAACCAGGCAGGCCAGACATACTTGAGCGTTATCCACCTTGTCAACGGCCAGTGAAATGGTTAGAGCTCTCCTGTGGTCCATCATGACCAAGCTATGGTCCTTTAGGGCTTGATGGACACTCCTTCTCCAGAGCCTCCTGTCACCAACCAAGGCAGCGATGGTGATGCAGCAAGCAAGATCTGCAGCAGACACACATGGTATACATTCACTTTCATATCTGTCAGTTTAAATGTGCATAATCACCAATAGCTTGGGGATGTATGTTGTTAAATACAGTATCAGGTGCGTGCAAGCAAGTGTGATTCAGGTGAGTGCAAGCAAGTGTGATTATTTTTAGTTTGTACTTTATGCGTAATGCTTTTGCAAGGACAAATACAAGCATTGTTTATAAACTTGCAATAGGAGTTAGTAAGCAACTACTGGATCATTATGGATACATGTGGTCCTCTGTAGCTCAGCTGGTAGAGCACGGCGCTTGTAACGCCAAGGTAGTGGGTTCGATCCCCGGGACCACCCATACACAAAAATGTATGCACGCATGACTGTAAGTCGCTTTGGATAAAAGCGTCTGCTAAATGGCATATTATTATTATTATTATTATGTTCTGTATCTCTCAATCCACAAGAACAGCAGCATCTTGACAGGTCACATGTAGTAAAAATCAATGTTGGGCCTGTTGAGGTCAATACTTTTAGTATTCTAGTAACAGACCAACCTGCTATGGCCCCATAGTAAGAGTATATCTTAAAGGGATAATCCACCCCCAGAAATAAAAAATAATGAAACTGCTGTCTATTTGGTGAAAGCTTATGTTCTATCAGTGGGTAAAATAAAAATGTTCCCCATGATTTAACGTGTAAGTGGTCCAACTGTGAAATCACGAAATCGTGCAAGAACGTGTCATAGCTACACGGTTCTCGTCACTGGAGATAGGGGATAACACAATATCACATTTCATAACGCTTTTAAAACAATTACCTACTCCAGCTCGCCAAATCAGCCAATAGATAGTATGGGCATACTTGTCTAGAACACATCCATCCGTTTATATCGTCATGACAAAGTATATATTTCGCTTAGATGTGCTCAATCTAAACAGTGTAACAAATTATTAAACTCAGTTTCTTCTTATAATAATATAATAATATGCCATTTAGCAGACACTTTTATCCAAAGCGACTTACAGTCGTGAGTGCATACATTTTTTTTGTGTATGGGTGGTCCCGGGGATCGAACCCACTACCTTGGCGTTACAAGCGCCGTGCTCTACCAGCTGAGCTACAGAGGACCACAAGTATGGTTCTTCAAGTACCATCTCTCAATGCACTGTGTGTCTGTGGGAAACGTGGGAAAGGGCCGTTGTTGCCATAGCAACATACTCTGCACTTGCTCTGGGCAGCAGAGTTGCAATTTGAACTCTGTGAGACTCCTAAATTGATAGTGCAGTTTGTTTAGGCGATTTTACAGCTAGCTAGCTACTTCATATGCTGATATTGACTTTGGTATTATTGTGTGTAGCTCCGTTTGCTAGCTAGCTAGCCAGCCCAGAGCATTTCGGGTTTTGTAGTGGACTTGAGCTGCAACAGATTTCCAGAACGATTTTGACATGTTGCTACCAACCTTATAATGACAAAATTAAACATTTGTTCACAAAAAATATTGTTTTCACATATTACTGTTATTTAACACTGTTAAACATAGGAATTAGTGGTTTGGGGTGGATTATCCCTTTAAATGTTGACTAAATATGTGTAATGGTTTGCTGCTCTCCAAGATATTAGGTTAAAACTTATTGGCATTCCTATGGAACTTTATAGGTTTCTAGTCCTCTGTTTTATGAAAACAGTTGACAGGATAACATTGTATATAATTTTTATCACCCCACAACCATGAATATTTACATGTATAAATCAATTTTTTGTTTGAAGATTAAATATTCAAATTAAAGCCCCCATGCAGTCTTTGTAATTGATTGTTTCAAATCGTCACTGTATGTCTAGTAAAGCACTGTGTGTTTATTTAATGAAAATAACTCCAAAATATATTTATCATCATTTATATCCCGAGCCGCCTTTGGCCCTGGAAATGCTCAGTCTGATCATATGGGCGTTAGGAAACAAATGTTAAGATATTTACATACACAGCCCTGATTGGCTAGTCTAGAGCCCACCCTCTTACCTATATGAACAGTCATTGGTCTATTTTAATCAGATCATATTGTGATGTCACGTGGGCCAAAAGTTCCATCCCAACTGAACAGGCTGAAATTCCAGGCCTTTTTTTATTCTTCTTCTAAACGGCCCTTACACAAAAATGCCATTATCATGATTTTTACAATTTCAGAGTGTTATTCCAACCTCAGTGTGAAAATATAAAATACAACAAAAAACAGGAAAATCACTACACTGCCCCTTTAAGGATCGACATTTTCAGAAATCAGTGATTAGGACAGCATTTTGGGCACATTCTTACCACAATTCTGTGAATCATTTAACATATTTATAAATATGGCTCATTTGGATGTGTATTCTACATCCCTATGGACATTTTAAGATATTATTGGGCATACTACAATTATATTTCATACAGGTATGGTCATGCGAAATTGATCCAATAAGACCCCATTGCCTTGTTTGGCGGCCATATTGGAAAAAGGCTTCTGTGGAGTTAATGCGTGAATCCTGTGATGGTCCTGTATCTACAAAATGTTTTTAAAACCCTGTTCTGGTTGTGTGCAATTTAATGCTTCTATCACCGAAGTTACAATCCTAAACCATAGCCGCCCACTACATGGAATTACATGGCTAAGCTTCCAACATTCTAATGTCAATGGCTGTGTTGTCAGGATATCAGTATCGCGATACTAGGAAGTAAGGAAACAAAACATGAAATGGACTTCATTTCTTGAGGGAAAACATTCCTAATGTTAGAAAAAACGTATGTTGTCACCCAGAGTCACATTTGAAGTTGTTTATATTATATATCATTTGAATTGTAATTTCATGACTTTTCAGAACCAACTAAATGTATCAGGGTTTCCTTTTTTAAGCCTGAACTTTCTGAAAATGTGGATGGATAGCTGTGAATCGAAGCTTACCAATGATATATGATTAAAGGGTATACGTGAGCAATAACTGGTTGTATACTGACATTGTTCGTCATATCGTAAAATCCCAATGGTAAAAATTAATATGCCATGAGACATCGTCACCCAAAATTTGGGGGTCTGGCCCCCATGCCATCGACTACTACGCTAGGTAGCTACTCGTTGCATTTCACTAAAGTTAAATATTGCCCGTATAATGGTTCTCTTCATGTGTGCCCTTTGTCATTCTAGAATATCATTCAACTATGCAGACACGCTAGCGAACAAAATCTGGCAACAAGCTGCCTGTAACTTCACAGACATTTAGTGTAGGCGAGCCTTAGCTAGCATCTATGAATAGGCTAACGTTAGCTAGCTAGCAGATATCAACTTTTGTCCACGGTTCTCATACTTACTCGGTAATACTGTGAGTTAGTGCAACATACACGCACGTGACCAAAGAGCGAGGAGACGGGAAATATACACAGCTACTGCACTCTCCAAATCATCTTGCTGATTAATTGCAACGTCCATAAAATCATAAATACACGTTAATGGCAAAGGTTGCCGATGTTTTCAAGCTTTTCCTGATTCAGAAGAACATCCTGTTGTTTCCGGAAGTGGACAATCTAGCTATATGAGACCATAGAATGAGAAGATTATTTGTATCCAAGCCTATGTTTTATTACTTTATTATTTGGTTACAAATTTAAATGTATATGATATTAAATACTAAATACTTTGAATTGGATAACATTTCACAAATATTTTAAGTCAATTCTTCTAATTTTCCTTCATAGTATCAAATGACTTGATATGTAGGCTACTCATGGTCCACATAACATGTATAATTTCAAGTTGCAGATATGTAAGACATGTTTTGATGATTCATAGCAGTTCTTGATAATGTTCATCAGAGAGTTTAATATCTAATTGCTCATAATTTATATTCTGAGAAGTTATATGCATACAGCACAATAAAAGACAAGTCATTCAGATACTTTTCAAGTTTGTATTGACATTTTACTGGTCAGATAGTGAAGCTGCAGCATGGGGATCAAGCCAGCTCAATCCCTGGGTGGAGGGGTTGGTGAGCAGGCCATCACACGCTGCAGCCAAAAGGGTAATCTGGGGTCAAAGGTTAAACTAGGCTCACTGGACCCAATACTGACCTGAGATCAACGTATATAATAACTTCATATTTCACACAATCCTCACACTGGCAGAGTGACTGATGTGAGTGAAAGTTGGAGTTACAACAGGTATCTGTTGTAAGAAACTCAGTGCTCAGTACTCAGTGCCCATACCACTGAGTATGGGCACACTGGAGAGAGACTAAGACAGCAAGGGCATGTCAACATACATCTTTTTTTTTTGTTGGAGGGCTGTTAAAGAAAAGCTTCCATAGATCAGTGAATAATCAATAATATTACAATATCCTGTTAGGATACTTTGGTTCAGAAACCTCACTCCTATGCCCATACAACATAAATGAAATTGAATCACTTATCATGTCATATACTGTTTGGTCTCAAAATCAGTCATCATTATGGTCATGGTGACATTTTCTATGGGAATGCTTTCACTAAAGTCGGTAAAGTAAGACTAATAGTCTATTGCTAGTGTGTTGGGCTGTAAAGATGTTAAAATCTGTCCTCAAGTGAATCTGACTGGACGTACAGTTCTATGAATGTATATTTTTTCAAGACATTTTTAATGATCATTGATTGGTCCCAGCCCGTTATCCAGTGAAACCTCAGGATCCACACTTGCTGTCTCTGACCACAGCGCCGGGCCGCTGTTAGCGATGACATCAACATCATCATCAGGTTCAGGGGTCATTATGGCTGCCGATGGATCAGAATCCGACGTCAACTGCTCCTTCTTATTAAAGCCTGAGGAGACAGGAAATAAAGAGAAGCAGAAAACATAGGACTCAACATACACAGACACAGACATACACACCAGTTATATGTAAAGGCCAGACAGGTTTTAGCAGACCAGCGCAGGGATTCATTTACAGTGGGGAAAAAAAGTATTTAGTCAGCCACCAATTGTGCAAGTTCTCCCACTTAAACAGATGAGAGAGGCCTGTAATTTTCATCATAGGTACACATCAACTATGACAGACAAAATGAGAAATAAAATTCCAGAAAATCACATTGTAGGATATTTAATGAATTTATTTGCAAATTATGGTGGAAAATAAGTATTTGGTCAATAACAAAAGTTTCTCAATACTTTGTTATATACCCTTTGTTGACAATGACACAGGTCAAACGTTTTCTGTAAGTCTTCACAAGGTTTTCACACACTGTTGCTGGTATTTTGGCCCATTCCTCCATGCAGATCTCCTCTAGAGCAGTGATGTTTTGGGGCTGTCGCTGGGCAACACGGACTTTCAACTCCCTCCAAAGATTTTCTATGGGGTTGAGATCTGGAGACTGGCTAGGCCACTCCAGGACCTTGAAATGCTTCTTACGAAGCCACTCCTTCGTTGCCCGGGCGGTGTGTTTGGGATCATTGTCATGCTGAAAGACCCAGCCACGTTTCATCTTCAATGCCCTTGCTGATGGAAGGAGGTTTTCACGATACATGGCCCCATTAATTCTTTCCTTTACACGGATCAGTCGTCCTGGTCCCTTTGCAGAAAAACAGCCCCAAAGCATGATGTTTCCACCCCCATGCTTCACAGTAGGTATGGTGTTCTTTGGATGCAACTCAGCATTCTTTGTCCTCCAAACACGACGAGTTGAGTTTTTACCAAAAAGTTATATTTTGGTTTCATCTGACCATATGACATTCTCCCAATCCTCTTCTGGATCATCCAAATGCACTCTAGCAAACTTCAGACGGGCCTGGACATGTACTGGCTTAAGCAGGGGGACACGTCTGGCACTGCAGGATTTGAGTCCCTGGCGGCGTAGTGTGTTACTGATGGTAGGCTTTGTTACTTTGGTCCCAGCTCTCTGCAGGTCATTCACTAGGTCCCCCTTGTGGTTCTGGGATTTTTGCTCACCGTTCTTGTGATCATTTTGACCCCACAGGGTGAGATCTTGCGTGGAGCCCCAGATCGAGGGAGATTATCAGTGGTCTTGTATGTCTTCCATTTCCTAATAATTGCTCCCAGAATTGATTTCTTCAAACCAAGCTGCTTACCTATTGCAGATTCAGTCTTCCCAGCCTGGTGCAGGTCTACAATTTTGTTTCTGGTGTCCTTTGACAGCTCTTTGGTCTTGGCCATAGTGGAGTTTGGAGTGTGACTGTTTGAGGTTGTGGACAGGTGTCTTTTATACTGATAACAAGTTCAAACAGGTGCCATTAATACAGGTAACGAGTGGAGGACAGAGGAGCCTCTTAAAGAAGAAGTTACAGGTCTGTGAGAGCCAGAAATCTTGCTTGTTTGTAGGTGACCAAATACTTATTTTCCACCATAATTTGCAAATAAATTCATAAAAAATCCTACAATGTGATTTTCTGGAGAATTGTTTTTCTCAATTTGTCTGTCATAGTTGACGTGTACCTATGATGAGAATTACAGGCCTCTCTCATCTTTTTAAGTGGGAGAACTTGCACAATTGGTGGCTGACTAAATACTTTTTTCCCCCACTGTAAGTAGTTGATCACCTACCAACCAGTAAGAATTCCGGCTCTCACAGACCTGTTAGTTTTTCTTTAAGAAGCCCTCCTGTTCTCCACTCATTACCTGTATTAACTGCACCTGTTTGAACTCGTTACCTGTATAAAATACACCTGTCCACACACTCAATGAAACAGACTCCAACCTCTCCACAATGGCCAAGACCAGAGAGCTGTGTAAGGACATCAGTGATAAAATTGTAGACCTGCACAAGGCTGGGATGGGCTACAGGACAATAGGCAAGCAGCTTGGTGAGAAGGCAACAACTGTTGGCGCAATTATTAGAAAATGGAAGAAGTTCAAGATGACGGTCAATCACCCTCGGTCTGGGGCTCCATGCAAGATCTCACCTCGTGGGACATCAATGATCATGAGGAAGGTGAGGGATCAGCGCAGAACTACATGGCAGGACCTGGTCAATGACCTGAAGAGAGCTGGGACCACAGTCTCAAAGAAAACCATTAGTAACACACTACGCCGTCATGGATTAAAATCCTGCAGCGCACGCAAGGTCCCCATGCTCAAGCCAGTGCATGTCCAGGCCCGTCTGAAGTTTGCCAATGACCATTCTGGATGATCCAGAGGAGGAATGGGAGAAGGTCATGTGGTCTGATGAGACAAAAATAGAGCTTTTTGGTCTAAACTCCACTCGCCGTGTTTGGAGGAAGAAGAAGGATGAGTACAATCCCAAGAACACCATCCCAACCATGAAGCATGGAGGTGGAAACATCATTCTTTGGGGATGCTTTTCTGCAAAGGGGACAGGACGACTGCACCGTATTGAGGGGAGGATGGATGGGGCCATGTATCGCGAGATCTTGGCCAACAACCTCCTTCCCTCAGTAAGAGCATTGAAGATGGGTCGTGGCTGGGTCTTCCAGCTTGACAACGACCCGAAACACACAGCCAGGGCAACTAAGGAGTGGCTCCGTAAGAAGCATCTCAAGGTCCTGGAGTGGCCTAGCCAATAGAAAATCTTTGGAGGGAGCTGAAAGTCCGTATTGCCCAGCGACAGCCCCGAAACCTGAAGGATCTGGAGAAGGTCTGTATGGAGGAGTGGGCCAAAATCCCTGCTGCAGTGTGTGCAAACCTGGTCAAGACCTACAGGAAACGTATGATCTCTGTAATTGCAAACAAAGGTTTCTGTACCAAATATTAAGTTCTGCTTTTCTGATGTATCAAATACTTATGTCATGCAATAAAATGCAAATGTATTACTTAAAAATCATACAATGTGATTTTCTGGATTTTTGTTTTATATTCCGTCTCTCACAGTTGAAGTGTACCTATGATAAAAATTACAGACCACTACATGCTTTGTAAGTAGGAAAACCTGCAAAATCGGTAGTGTATCAAATACTTGTTCTCTCCACTGTATACTGAGATCATCTGACAGATCATGTGACACTTAGATTGCACACAGGTGGACTTTATTTAACTAATTATGTTACTTCTGAAGGTAATTGGTTGCACCAGATCTTATTTAGAGGCTTTATAGCAAAGGGGATGAATACACCACTTTTCCATTATTTATTTTTTAGAATTTTTTGAAACAAGTAATTTTTTCATTTCACGTCACCAATTTGGACTATTTTGTGTATGTCCATTACATGAAATCCAAATAAAAATCTATTTAAATTACAGGCTGTAATGCAACAAAATAGGAAAAACGCCAAGGGGGATGAATACTTTTGCAAGGCACTGTAGTTAGCTCTATGGCATTGTTATGTAATTCCAGTATTCTTAACTATGGCATTGTTAGGTAGTGCCATTGTATTATGCCATTCTATACCATTGTAGGCAGTTTTCTCTGTGACATTGTGAGGTAATGCCATAGTTCTTAACCATTGTTGGGTACCACAATGACACACAGGCTATGAAATGACTACATGTACACTACCATTCAAAAGTTTGGGGTCACTTAGAAATTTCATTGTTTTCGAAAGAAAAGCATTTTTTTTGGCCATTAAAATAAAATCAAATTGATCAGAAATACAGTGTAGACATTGTTAATGTTGTAAATGGCTATTGTAGCTGGAAACGGCTGATTTGTAATGGAATATCTACATAGGCGTACAGAGGCCCATTATCAGCAACCATCAGTCCTGTGTTCCAATGGCACGTGTGCAAAGCTGTCATCAAGGCAAAGGGTGGCTATTTGAAGAATCTCAAACATAAAATATATTTTGTTATGTTTAACACTTTTTTGGTTACTACATGATTCCATATGAGTTATTTCATAGTTTTGATGTCTTCACTATTATTCTACAATGTAGAAAATAGTAAAAATAAAGAAAAACACTTGAATGAGTAGGTGTGTCCAAACCTTTGATTGGTAGTGTACATATTTACATTTTAGTCATTTAGCAGACGCTCTTATCCAGAGCAATTTACAGTTAGTGAGTGCATACATTTTCATACTGGCCCCCCGTGGGAAACGAACCCACAACCCTGGCGTTGCAAGCGCCATACTCTACCAACTGAGCTACAGGGGACTGGGGATAAGGGACATATTACCTCAATTACCTCGACTAACCTGTGCCCCTGCACATTGACTCTGCACCGGTACCCCCTGTATATAGCCTCCCTACTGTTATTTTACTGATGCTCTTTAATTATTTTTTTTACTTATCTATTTTTTACTTAACACTAATTTTTCTTAAAACTGCATTGTTGGTTAAGGGCTTGTAAGTAAGCATTTCACTGTAAGGTCTACACCTGTTGTATTCGGCGCATGTGACAAATAAAATGTGATTTGATTTGACTACATCCCCATTTGCCATGTCTTGAAATATGCAGACATTGTAATATTTCTGACAGCTAACTTCCTAGCCCCGCCCACAACTTCCGGACTTTATAGCGTTCCCATAAAGCATGGATTATTTAATCGTTATTAGTTTTACACTTAAAACATGACTCTGCCTTTGTGGTGTAGAATTTGTGAATTTTGTCTCTTGTATAATAAATTCTATACATTAATTTATACTGGATTAAGCGTACTTTTTCGTTAACTGTAATTGTGTTAGTTATGCGCCAACTCTCCCTCCATCTTGTTCCAACGTCAGTTATTTTTTCCCTCCATCTTGTACCAACATCAGTTCTTTTTTAGTCTTGGTACCAATTTTTTACATTTTTTTCTAAGAGATTGTCAGTTGGATATGCAATCTGCAATGACTGTTACCAAGTCATTTACGGTTTCTATGCCTTTAGTTTTCCATGTGGACCAATTTTTCGGTGAATTCTGAAAAGCTATCTAAGGATTGTTCCATAAGGTTGTGTTTTTAGGGAGTGATATTGGTTCTTGTAGAATATGTTTAATTTTCTTATATATTGTTATAGTGTTCTTAACTATGAAGTTGTTAATGTTCTTAGCTTTATCCTTTGAAAGGAGACACGTAAAACGATTCTGGGGATGAGAATGCGCAGCTTCAATATGTACCCATTGTACCTCTTTAGTGCATTTAACTACATGTCGCAAATAAAAGCCTTGGGTAACGAGTTGAGACAGTTCCAAGTCTGGAAGGTTAAAACCACCCTCAGACTTAATAAAATGTAATACTTTCCTTTTTATTCTATGAATTTTATTTGCCCATAAAGTCTGTTATGACCAAGTATACTTTTTAAAAAAAATGTATTCGGTGGGGTAATTGGTATTACCGAAAATAAATACAAAAACTTTGGCAGCCATGCCATTCTAAAGGGGTTTATTCAATCTGTAAGATTTATGGGAAGATTATTCCATTTGATTAGATCTGCTTTCATATTGTTGAGTAATGGAATAAAGTTATCTTTATATATTTGTTGTTTGTTGTCACTTATTAAGCATCCTATATATTTAATATGTTTTGTGGTCCACTTAAAGGATTACTGTAGATCGTGAGTTATTCTTTTTCGTTTTCCTATTGATCTTTTACTTTTGAAGAGAGCCAACAACAGGTTAAACTAAAATAAAGCATACTACTTAATGACAGTGTTTTTATGTATGTGATTTTTATGTAATTTTCTTACCTATGGCATTTTTAGGTAATGTTCTTACCCCTGGCATTGTTAGGTAATGCCAGTGTTCTTACCTATGTCATTTTAAAGTACTGTTCCTACCCCTGGTATTGTTATAAAAAGGTAGCTAACAATCAGCATTGTTGCACATCTATGGAATTACCTAAGATCATGGTCATAGTCAGTATTCTTACCAATAACACCACATGGTGTGAAGATTGGCTTCTCCTCTTGATCTCTCTTAGCAATGTGGGCCCGAATCTTCCTCACTGTCTATATGCTGGCTGAGAGATAGACTGACAGATAGGGAGATATAAGCACTTGCAAGGCTTTCCACCAAATTACTTTAACCCCCCATCAAACAATTTAAAAAGTATAATCTCCCTACAGGTTGAGCAAAATATTCTTGAAATAACATATCACAAGATAATATCATTGACATGGATGTATAGCCTATGTACCGTTACTTCATATCCACAGGAGGCTGCTGAGGGGAGGACGGCTCATAATAATGTCTGGAATGGAGTGAATGGAATGATATCAAACACATGGAAACCATGTGCGTTCAATACCATAAGATTAACATGAACAATGTGTTTTCGTAGTACAGTGGATCTGCTGTTACCAAAACAGTTACAAAACCACGCCAAACCCGTTACATATAGCAGATTATTTTAGAGGTGGAGCTTCGCTACACGGCTTCACTGGTTGGCTATTTACATGTAACTCAATGAGTACATTCATCTCGTGATCTCCTGTATTGGATAAATCAACTGAATAATATTTTTGGTTATGGTAAACATGTCATGTCACTGAGTAAGAACAAGTTTGTTTATTAGAAACTCAGTGTCAGACAAATGTTATAAAACTATGGGACATTTTTACAAGGTCATTTGTGCCAATGTCTCACTGGTTTCTAGACTACGGTGGTTTAATAAATGTGTGAAATACAATTGACTGATGAAGGAAAGTACAAACAGATGGTAATTAATTTATTGCGCATTTGACAAGTCACACAACCGCAAAATGCATGCAAGGCGCCTATGCAACCTGCCAGTGAATGTTACACAGACCTTCTCACAATTCCAATACAGCAGTTTCCTTCAGGATATTTGTATTTCTAACTTCAATATATACACACCTAGATTTCACTTTAACTTAAAACAGTTTCAAATAGCAAGACAAACATTTACATCACACACACACACCAGAATTCTCAGTCTTTCAGGGAATTAGAATAATCACCTTTTCTTTTTACAATAAAAATAAAACTGGAAATTTGAAATCACCAGGGAAGTAGGACGACTAAAGAGGACACTCATAAGGAATGTGAAGTGTGGGGTTAAAGGTACAGGACTAGGCCTCAGAGAAAGCTCTACAGTGTTACAACTCATCATTAAACTACACAACTACAGCTGCTGTATAGTTAACCTCTGTGAAATTTCTCAAAAGTGCTAACCAATAAACTGCATCTCTCATACATGTCATACATATTGGATAAGACTTACCTCCACCTGAACAACTGCTACTCTGATGTCTACTCCTAAATCCATAACCGACCACTAGAAGCTTGTGTATAGCTGAGAGGTGGAATAGGTATATGCCATATGGTTTGTAATTAGTGCAACCATGGCTTATACAATGCTAAGTGGAATAATTTTCACCATATTGCTTAAACCTATCCAACCCATTTAGAATTAGGTCTACACCTTCAGCTCCACATCTTTATTTTTCACACAAAACAAGAAAAACAAAGTTTCACTAGGAGAGGGCTAATTGGAGGGCTGGAGTGTTGCTGGGCAGACTTCAGTCCAACCTGATCTTCTGATTGGTCATCCTGTAGATGATGCTGTCATATCCTGGGTCCATGTTCCACAGGTTGTATGAGATGACGATAACAGCCAGGGCAAGGATGATCATCAGCCACAGCACGATGTTGAAGATCACGGCATACTCAAAGTTATACTTATAGGCCAGGTTATAGGGACTGCCAGGGTTACTCTGCAGGGGGTGAGAGGGGTATAGAGAGAATATTTGCATCCATATCTATGAATTATGAAGATCGAAATAAGTTTAAACAGGCTTATGATCTGTGTAACAGCATAAATGTACATAGATTATGTAGAAAAAACATTAAATGCACTCACAATTTGTTTGGACTCCAGGATTGAGCGAGATTTCCTTGTCAGTGGCGCCTCAAAGTTCTTCACCGTGACAACCTCCACCACCGCGCTGTCACCATAGAGACCAAACAAGTCCTCACCAAACTAAAGCACAGGAAGTCGAGAGGGAGGTAGAACAAAGAGATTGTGGAAATACACTACAGTTGGTCAATCAAATCAAATTTGTCACATGCGCCGAATACAACATGTGTAGACCTGACCGTGAAATGCTTACTTACAAGCGCTTAACGAACAATGCAGTTCAAGAAAGAGTTAAGAAAATATTTACCAAATAAACTAACGTAAAATATAATAAAAAGTAGCAAAATAACAATAACAACGCTATATACAGGGGGTACCTGTACCGAGTCAATGTGCGGTGGTACAGGTTAGTCGAGGTAATTTGTACATGTTGGTAGGGGTAAAGTGACTATGCATAGACAATGGACAGCGGGTAGCAGCAGTGTAAAAACAAATGGGGGGGGGGGGGGGGGGGGGGGGGGGTCAATGTAAATAGTCCAGGTGGCCATTTGATTAATTGTTCAGCAGTCTTATGGCTTGGGGGTAGAAGCTGTTAAGGAGCCTTTTGGTCCTAGACTTGGCGCTCCGGTACCGCTTGCCGTGCAGTAGCAGAGAGAACATGGGTGACTGGAGTCTTTGATAATGTTTTGGGCCTTCATCTAACACCGCCTAGTATATAGCTCCTGGATGGCAGGAAGCTTAGCCCCAGTGATGTACTGGGCCATACGCACTACCCTCTGTAGCGCCTTACGGTCAGATGCCGAGCAGTTGCCATACCAGGCGGTGATGCAACCGGTCAGGATGCTCTCGATGGTGCAGCTGTAGAACTTTGAGGATGTGGGGACCCATGCCAAACCTTTTCAGTCTCCTGAGGGGGTAAGGTGTTGTCGTGCCCTCTTCACGACTGTCTTGGTGTGTTTGGACCATGATAGTTTGTTGGTGATGTGGACACCAAGGAACTTGAAACTCCCGACCCGCTCCACTACAGCCCCGTCGATGTTAATGGGGGCCTGTTCGGCCCGCCTTTTCCTGTAGTCCATGATCAGCTCCTTTGTCTTGTTCACATTGAGAGAGAGGTTGTTTGCCTGGCACCTCACGGCCAGGTCTCTGACCTCCCCCTATAGGCTGTCTCATCGTTGTCGGTGATCAGGTCTACCACTGTTGTGTCGTCAGCAAACTTAATGATGGTGTTGGAGTCGTGCTTGGCCATGCAGTCGTAGGTGAACAGGGAGTACAGGAGGGGACTAAGCACGCACCCCTGAGGGGCCCCAGTGTTGAGGATCAGTGGCAGACGTGTTGTTGCCTACACTTACCACCTGGGGGCGGCCTGTCAGGAAGTCCAGGATCCAGTTGCAGAGGCAGGTGTTTAGTCCCAGGGTCCCTAGGAGGCGTTGGGTAAGGTTGTGTCTCTCTCTGGCTTATATGGTGTCGAGTAAAGCTTAAACCATGTATTTAGATTGTAGGTAGGTATTGTAGTTAGGTATTGTAGGTAGTTATCGTAGGTTATTATAGGTTGTAGGTAGTTATCGTAGGTTATTATAGGTCATTATTGTAGGTAAGTATTGTATTCGGCTGAGCCCGGTGAAGCACGAGGCTAGCTAACCCACTACCTGGACTAGCTAGCAGGTAGCTACTGGTAACTATTAGCAACTGTGGATAGTTGTTTCCAAAGTTATTTCACGCTTAAGAGTACCTGTAATTATGCCAGCTAGCTGCCTACCATTCAGCTGTTTTTCTAACCTCATTATCTGAAGCGTTAACATTAGGTAGTTAGTAGCTACTGTACTCGAAATGTAGCTAGCTTGTTGCTACCTGGATAGCTAACTAAACAATAGCTGGAACGACCTATCTTTAATATTTGGAGACGCTTTCTCTCCGTTGGGACAGACGCGAACTGGCTGAATCGATTCAGTGGCTAGCTTTGCACTTAACTGGCTAACAGTAGCTACTAAGGGTAAGTTATAACCTACATTTGTGTTTTGTTTTTACATACTGGTAACCAGAGTCGTTCAAGGGAATTCGGGACATGGGTGACTAGTTAACGTGTGTTCGTGCCATGGGAGGAGGGGTTGGTTCGCTGGCAGAGAGCAATGGCTAGCTAGTATGCTAACTATTCTAGCTAACTAACTGGCTGAATAAATTGACGACATACTCACTCAAACTGTCAAAACGAACCCAAAAATGTACACAACGTTAGACACGGACACGAATGATCTGCTTGGCGTGTTAACACACTGGTGCTTTGTTGTAACCGAGTATTGGTGCTAAACTGTGTTATTGGAGGCTGGCATGCTAGTTGGCTATGGCGTCATAGGATTCGGTGCCCTGGAAGGTTTTCATGGAAGAATACTGTACCAAGTTAGCTAGCTGAATAAACTAAGTTAGAGTCTATTCCTAGAAAACATTGAACCGCTGTAGTTTACAACAATTATAATTTCTAAAGTGGAAGTTGGGAGAGTTATATTTGAGTGAGTGTTTCAGTGAAACGTAAGTGATGGAGGCCCCGTTCTCTCGCTTTCCCAGATGTTTAGTTCATTTCATTCCGATCTCCTTTGCATTATTGTAGCCGTTTTCTGTAGCCTGTCAACTATGTGTCTGTCTATCCCTGTTCTCTCCTCTCTGCACAGGCCATACAAACGCTTCTCACCACGTGGCTGTTGCCACTCTAATCTGGTGGTCCCTGCACGCACGACCCACGTGGAGTTCCAGGTCTCTGGGAGCCTCTGGAACTGCCGTTCTGCGGCCAACAAGGCAGAGTTCATCTCTGCCTATGCTACCCTCCAGTCCCTCAACTTCTTGGCGCTGACGGAAACATGGATTACCACAGAAAACATTGCTACTCCTACTGCTCTTTCCTCATCTGACCATGTGTTCTCGCATACCCCGAGAGCATCTGGTCAGCGCGGCGGTGGCACAGGAATCCTCATCTCTCCCAAGTGGACATTCTCTCTTTTTCCCCTGACCCATCTGTCTATCTCCTCATTTGAATTTCATGCTGTCACAGTCACTAGCCCATTCAAGCTTAACATCCTTGTCATTTATCGCCCTCCAAGTTCCCTTGGAGAGTTCATCAATGAGCTTGACGCCTTGATAAGTTCCTTTCCTGAGGATGGCTCACCCCTCACAGTTCTGGGTGACTTTAACCTCCCTACGTCTGCCTTTGACTCATTTCTCTCTGCCTCCTTCTTTCCACTCCTTTCCTCTTTTGACCTCACCCTCTCACCGTCCCCCCCTACTCACAAGGCAGGCAATACGCTTGACCTCATCTTTACTAGATGCTGTTCTTCTACTAATCTCACTGCAACTCCCCTCCAAGTCTCCGACCACTACTTTGTATCCTTTTCTCTCTCGCTCTCCTCCAACACTACTCACTCTGCCCCTACTCATATGGTAATGTGCCGTCGCAACCTTCGCTCTCTCTCTCCCGCTACTCTCTCCTCTTCCATCCTATCATCTCTTCCCTCTGCTAAATCCTTCTCCCTCCGATCTCCTGATTCTGTCTCCTCAACCCTCCTCTTCTCCCTTTCTGCATCTTTTGACTCTCTATGTCCCCTATCCTCCCGGCCGGCTCGGTCCTCCCCTCCTGCTCCATGGCTTGACGACTCATTGCAAGCTCACAGAAGGGGGCTCCGGGCAGCCGAGCAGAAATGGAGGAAAACTAGACTCCCTGCGGACCTGTCATCTTTTCACTCCCTCCTCTCTACATTCTCTTCCTCTGTTTCCGCTGCCAAAGCCACTTTCTACCACTCTGAATTTCAAGCCTCTGCCTCTAACCCTAGGAAGCTCTTTGCCACCTTCTCCTCCCTGCTGAATCCTCCTCCTCCCCCTCCCTCTCTGTGGATGACTTCCTCAACCATTTTGAAAAGAAGGTTGACGACATCCGATCCTCATTTATTAAGTCAAGCTGGTCCTGCTCACACTGCCCTACCCTATGCTTTGACTTCTTTCTCCACTCTCTCTCCAGATGAAATCTTGCGACTTGTGACGGCCGGCCACCCAACAACCTGCCCGCTTGACCCTATCCCCTCCTCTCTTCTCCAGACCATTTCCGAAGACCTTCTCCCTTACCTCACCTCGCTCATCAACTCATCCTTGACCGCTGGCCATGTCCCTTCCGTCTTCAAGAGAGCGAGAGTTGCACCCCTCCTCAAAAAAACCTACACTCGATCCCTTCGATGTCAACAACTACACACCAGTATCCCTTCTTTCTTTTCTCTCCAAAACTCTTGAGCGTGCCGTCTCTAGCCAACTCTCCTCCTATCTCTCTCAGAATGACCTTCTTGATCCAAACCAGTCAGGTTTCAAGACTGGTCATTCAACTGAGACTGCTCTTCTCTGTGTCACGGAGGCTCTCCGCACTGCTAAAGCAAACGTTCTCTCCTCTGCTCTTATCCTTCAAGACCTATCCGCTGCCTTTGATACTGTGCACCATCCTCCTCTCCACCCTCTCCGAGTTGGGCATCTCCGGCGCTGCTCACTCTTAGATTGCGTCCTACCTGACAGATCGCTCCTACCAGGTGGCATGGCGAGAATCTGTCTCCGCACCACGTGCTCTCACCACTGGTGTCCCCCAGGGCTCAGTTCTAGGCCCTCTCCTATTCTCTCTATACACAAGTCACTTGGCTCGGTCATATCCTCACATGGTCTCTCCTATCATTGCTACGCAGACGACACACAATTTTCTCCTTTCCCACTTCTGATAACCAGGTGGCGAATCGCATCTCTGCATGTCTGGCAGACATATCAGTGTGGATGTCGGATCACCACCTCAAGCTGAACCTCGGCAAGACGGAGCTGCTCTTCCTCCCGGGGAAGGACTGCCCGCTCCATGATCTCGCAATCACGGTTGACAACTCCATTGTGTCCTCCTCCCAGAGTGCAAAGAACCTTGGCGTGACCCTGGACAACACCCTGTCGTTCTCTGCTAACATCAAAGCGGTGACCCGATCCTGCAGGTTCATGCTCTACAACATTCACAGAGTACGACCCTACCTTACACAGAAAGCGGCACAGGTCCTAATCCAGGCACTTGTCATCTCCCGTCTGGATTACTGCAACTCGCTGTTGGCTGGGCTCCCTGTCTGTGCCATTAAACCCCTACAACTTATTCAGAACACTGCAGCCCGTCTGGTGTTCAACCTTCCCAAGTTCTCATGTCACCCCGCTCCTCCGCACACTCCACTGGCTTCCAGTTGAGGCTCGCATCTACTACAAGACCATGGTGCTTGCCTACGGAGCTGTGAGGGGAACGGCACCTCCGTACCTTCAGGCTCTGATCAGACCCTACACCCAAACGAGGGCACTACGTTCATCCACCTCTGGCCTGCTAGCTCCCCTACCTCTACGGAAGCACAGTTCCAGCTCAGCCCAGTCAAAGCTATTCGCTGCTCTGGCACCCCAATGGTGGAAGAAGCTCCCCCACGACAGCGGAGTCACTGACCACCTTCCGGAGACACTCGAAACCCTATCTCTTTAAGGAATACCTGGAATAGTATAAAGTAATCCTTCTACCCCCCTCCCCCCCATAAAAAAATTAAAAAGAAGAAAAGTGGTTGTCCCACTGGCTATCATAAGTTGAATGCACCAATTTGTAAGTCGCTCTGGATAAGAGCGTCTGCTAAATGATGTAAATGTCCTTAGCTTAGTGATGAGCTTTGTGGGCACTATGGTGTTGAACGCTGAGCTGTAGTCAATGAACAGCATTCTCACATAGGTGTTCCTTTTGTCCAGGTGGGAAAGGGCAGTGTGGAGTGCGATTGAGAGTGCGTCATCTGTGGATCTGTTTGGGCGGTATGCGAATTGGATTGGGTCTAGGCTAGGGTATCCGGGATGATGCTGTTGATGTAAATATAAACATAACGAGAGAGCGTTTTAATGGTAATCATCTACACAGATTTTGTTTTTACGCAACATGCACAATTTGCTCAGATTAGACTGAGTTACAGTTCATATAATGAAATCAGTCAATTGAAATAAATGAATTAGGCCCTAATCTATGGATTTCACCTGATATGCATCCGTTGGTCACACCTTAAAAATAAGCCACTGATGCAGAACTTTGGAACATCTACATTTTAAAAAGTCTAATAAATCCATGTAATATAGCCTTCACCTTCACAACAAATCCAATGTTTATTTTAGACAGGTCTAAAGAAGCATGATTTGAAGAAAATGTAGTCAATTTCAGAAGAACATACTCTTGAGTTGTTAGGTCCTGATCTGGCTATGGCATATGGCTGTGGGCTACACTAGTTCATTTAGCAGACAAGATTTGCTTAGAATTCCGTTGCATTATTTTATAGTATGAAGAACACAATTGAACAAAGTTGAATAAAATAGAAAGGATATTTTCTCCAAACAATTTGAGGGAGTGCGCACATGCGGCTATTCTGTGTTGACCGGTTAACAAAGAAATAGGTATTCCTATATGCTTAATTTAGAGTTATTAATGTAACTTTAGTTGTTCTACAAACGTTGGGCTATATGTTTTGATTTTTCATACATTGTAAGGCTGCATGATGCGACTAATGATGATTTGAAAAAGGTCGCTTGAAAGGCATGAGCTCTGCTTTGTTTTTTGCGCAGGCTGTACACACTTCAGTCTCGCATTCACAATTTGACAAGCACTTGATAATGCCTCGAATTTTATGGCGGCATCCCCTTTGTGTGGCCGTAATGCACCCTAAAAAAATCCATGCCTTCTGCAGCAAGTGGCCATTGTGCCCTTGGCCCGGAGTGCTGCGTTGTGCGCTTCTCCCTGACTGCTGCGCGCCCCGAAGCACCTCTCACTCACATGGGCTCTCATCACGTGATCGGGTCTTTCTCACAGGCTACAAGTGAAGACAGACACATCGGTGACACAACTGCGCACGTCCTTATCCAACTCTGAGGTGCATATTGAAGATTTTGGAAGAACTGTCCACATTTACTTTTTTATGCAGAATGTTTAGCTTAAAATGTTGATAAACTATTAGGCTATTTCTTCCCATTATAAGTGCAGCAATGCACACATGGCAGTATGCTATAAGCTTGAATGTTCCATTAGCGGGAAAACACCAATATCAAAAGTGACCGCAAATGTGATTACGCATGTAATGCTTTTATTATAAAGGTGCATTTTTATGGTGAAAATGATCTTCCCCAAACTTGAAACTCATGCGCTGCTTATGTATGCCAGTTTGGCTATACACCCCTTGTAAAGCAGATTAAATGTGCTTAATTTTAAGAAGTTATTTATCCACTTTAGCTGTGATACAAACCTTATCAAAGCATATAGGCCAGGCTACATGAGGTGGGCGACTATGATTCGAAAAAGTGATAATATAGCATTCATAAGTGATAGGCAAATATTGTCACCCATCAGACTATTCTTGATTTAATCTCATCTTCACATATACTAAATCATATATGTGTGAAATTTGTTTTGATTTAGAATGGACCATTATCATGCACATGTCTCGAAACAGGGGCAGCGGGAAAAAATACGTCATCTATGCACTTAAATAGCGAATGGAGGACGCTTTTCCCGTGGTTCATTTTCATACCAGCCAGGTAGGCTATATAAAGATAAGCAACGTGCTTAATATTAGGAAAGTTGATAAATAAATATATTAGGCCTAGCCTACAGAAAGCTGATGGGATCCTCTTTTTAATAGAGGCCATCACTCGGTTTTCTCGCGCAATTGCATAACCTAGAGAAATGTTGCGCAACATGAGCTCTCATGAAGTGTTTGATTAGATTTTCGATTACATTTGCATTGATGTCAGAGTGATTAGAGGGACAATAGAGTGTTGAGTACCAGGCAGTTAGCAAGTTTGGTAGGCTACTAATGACCATCAACAGCATCCGAATTTGGAGAAGCCTAATTACTGTGACTAAATGGTCACGTGTAATTTGACTGCCCTCATGACTAGTGACCGCCAGTGTGGCAGTAATACGGTCACTGCAACAGCCCTAAGTATGACCACCATTTGCCTCATGCAGCGCGACACATCTCCTTCGCATAGTTGATCAGGCTGTTGATTGTGGCCTGTGGAATGTTGTCCCACTCCTCTTCAATGGCCACATTTTAGATTGCACAAGGTGTAAGTGTGTCTTTATATGCCACACCTGTCAGGTGGATGGATTATCTTGACAAAGGAGAAATGCTCACTAACAGGAATGAAAACAAGTTTGTGCACAAACTTTGAGAGAAATAAGCTTTCTGTGCATATGGAACATTTCAGGGCCAACACTTTACATTTATATATTTTTGTTCAGTGTACATAAATGGCTTTTACAACCATAAACCATTGCCTTCTGTACTTGGCCTTTTAGGAGTAAGTCACACCACTAAGACATTTTATGAATACAGAGTATGGGCATTCCCCCTTGTGCTTACCTTCTGCAGGACATTGGCCAGAATGGCGGCGGCGTCTTGGTACTGAGAGGAGTCCTGTCCGTAGCGACGGCCCAGCTCCTCCAGGCCAGACAGCTCCAGGGAGTACAGGTCAGGGGAGTGATCCTTGGCCAGGTGCCTGTGTCTCTGCAGCTACAGGAGTGTGAAGGGGATAGACGACAAGCGTTAGCCACAATAATGAAGAAGTAGCACATGCTGTAAGGCTCTGGGGATGGCACTGCGGTGCTCAGATTTAAATGATCCAATGCCCCTGTGCCCAACAAATTATATATTCAGAGTCTTACCAGGGCAGTGATGTCATGTAGAACCTGGACCTCAGACAGGAAGAGCAGATCAGCCTATAGGGAGAGTGGAAGGTCAGAGGTCAACATTTGAAGTGGTCAACCCTTACCGTTCTTGTTCACTTTTACCGAGGGACGCAGACAGAACCAGCACTATTTATGCATGTTAGTGTTGCATGGTATACCGGTACCACGGTAATATCACGGTACTAAAACGGCTTGATACTTATGATACCAACATTGTAGAATACCGTAGTAACATTTCATATGATACTACCAAATGTTGCCCATATCGATCTAAAGAGCCCGCTGGCGGCAGTTATAAAACATGTATTAAGTCAGTTGTTTATCAATTCTGTTACATTTTTTAAAGTAACAGCAACTAGTCTCTTGTATGCACCAGTCCAATAATGTCCACTTTACTTTCATGCGCATATCACGTGTGGCAGCTATAATCCACCAGCCGCATCCCTTTCCAGCCGTCACTTAGATTTTAGTAATTTAGCAGATGCTCTTATCCAGAGCGACTTACAGTAGTGAGTGCATACATTTCATACTTTTTTTCTCTCCGTACTGGTCCCCCCTAGGGAATCGAACCCACAACCCTGGAGTTGCAAGCGCCAGTCTACCAACTGAGCCACACAGGAGTCACCTGCATCTCTCCGTCCGCTCTTCCTGCACATTATTCCTACATCAGTTTTAAAAATGTAATTTAGCTGTGATAATATAATATAATAATATGCCATTTAGCAGACGCTTTTATCCAAAGCGACTTACAGTCATGCGTGCATACATTTTTTTGTGTACGGGTGGTCCCGGGGATCGAACCCACTACCTTGGCGTTACAAGCGCCGTGCTCTACCAGCTGAGCTACAGAGGACCATGATGGCGAGGGGGGATGCAGACCCTGATGAGTCTTCTGTTGTTACATTTGTACATTTGATACATTGGAGCAGCGCTCAGAGCGAGCAAAGTTGATACACTGTATATAATTTCATCCCTGGTATAACCAACAGCACAGGCCAGTCATAGGCTTTACAAGTTTGCTGTCACGCAGCAGTGCCAGAGAGGAAAAACAGCTTGCAGCTTTACAGCAAAGAAAAACATATTGTCTCTGCTTAAACGGTCAAAAAAATATGACTCATTACCAGAGCTACCTTCTTTTTTTTTCTTCCTGTGCGATTTCGTGCTTATTTGATATAATTTCACAAACCATGTCACGGGCCGTTTTAAACTAATCCCAGGCCGATAATTTTTTGATAACAAACGTTGTTTAGTCATGTTACCTAGATAGCTAACAACCTGTTAACTTGACACTAGGTCTAGGGAAATTTGATTGGCACAGGAAGAAAGGAAAATGATCTGCTACTCATGAGATGTGCTTAAAAAGTAGGATTCATATAGGCCTAATGTAAGCCTAAACTATCACAAATCTATCTCTTTCTGGTGCTCCTTACATTCTGTTTGGTGCCTAATGGAGCAGTGTGTATGTTTTAGAGAGAGAGAGAGTGGTGTCCCGTGTAGCTCAGTTGGTAGAGCATGGCGCTTGCAACGCCAGGGTTGTGGGTTCAATACCCACGGGGGACCAGTATGAAGAAAAAAAAAAATGTATGCACTCACTAACCATGTAAAAAATGGTGTGTGTGTGTTTATGAGGAAGACTGTGTGTGTGAGGGAGGTAGTGTGTGTGTGCCTGTGTGTTAACTGAAGAGTAAAGGTTTCATGCAGTGTTTTCCCCTTACTGCCACAATGACATGCAGATCATTATGCATGTATATTCCTTCCTCCAGCCAAATTACAGGCAGGCCTTTTCAAATATAAGCTAATTAGCTAGCCATTCTATGCAGTATTCTATTATACAGTGAACAGTGTGAAGTTAAATTCAACATATGAATGTTTAGAAAATGGGAATAAGTGTCGGGGGACAGGGCAAACAGGACGCTAGGCCACTGAATTTTTTACCATGCGGTATTGCGATACTACTCGGTATCGTGATACTTGGCCTGGTATCGTTAGTAAATTGTTGGCATCGTGACGAGACTAATGCATGTACCTCAGCGTTGCGGCTGAGGGAGTTGAGTGGTAGGGAGGCAAGCACAGAGCCATCCTGGGAGAGACGAGCGCGGATCTGCTGCAGGGTCACAGGCAGGTCCTCAAACACAGCGTTGGCCTTTCCCAGCATGTACAGCCTCTGTAGACACACATACACAGGATAACATTACCAACACCTGCACATACCAACCCTCTGTGTAATGAAACACAGCAACACATACTCAGGTGCTCATCCAATAATGTGCTGTTCCATACAGTACCTCCTCACTAGGGGCCAGCTGGAGCACCACAGGAGTGTCCTCAGCAAAGAGAGAGTGAACCGTCTCAGCCACACTGTCCAGGGTGAAGGGCACCGGCTGGAGGAGAGGGAACAAGGGATAGGTTATTAATAACAGAGCTTCTGTGAAGAATCTGATTAAAAGGAATCTCACAATTTTGCTGCTCCCCAACCACCACCCTACTGATTGGAATTCTCGTCACACTCACATTCTCTAGGGGGTAGGAGGCCACACTCTGGGGCAGGGCCAGGCTGTCCACCCCCCTCACCACCACCAGCACGTTGGCCTTGGGACGCTGGAACAAAGGACCTGCCCGGAGGCCTGGCCAGGAGAGATCCTACACACACAGACACAAGATGTTAGTATATAATATACAACAAAATAGGCTTGCATACCTGCTCAAACATAGGATCAGTGTGTGTGTGTGTGTACCTCCTGGATGGAGAAACCCATAGTCAGAGCCACCATATCTGGAATCTTCTCCCCTGAGATCGGCCAGTCTCCCTTTTGGAAGGACACATACTCAGGGGCCTGCAATATGGTGAGGCTGTCCCCCTGAACATCTGAGGGAAAACAGAAGGAATTGATCTATAAACAACTTCCAATAATGTCTACATAGCAAAGCTAACTACTGTTTGGCTTGGGTGAGGTCATTCCATACTGTGCAATATCATATGACTATGGAGGTTAATCTAGATCGGTTCTGACAGTATAGTGTTGCTATTTGGTCCCACTTGACTGTTAATTAAAAACAGCGAATTACACTTTTCCATGGATGGCAGAGCCGGGCAACAGTAGCTAGTTAGCTGGAGTCTCGTGACTGGGAAAGCAGAATCATGTTTGAGGAAGTTAAGTGAATCAGATGTTGGTGTACTGTCTGTCACATGATACTGAACTGGCTAGTTGCACCCCTGTGAGTCTGGTTAGTAAGACAGCTAAGAATGGATAGCTAGATATTGTTGTTCATAACGACAAAATGGATTAAACTGTGGGAAATGGCTCACGTTAGCTGGCGATTATGTCGTCCCACTCCCAGCTGGTGCGGGTTGCTGGCTGTCAAGTTGACGTTAGCTAGCTAGCATGCTAGGGTAATTTGGCCCAACAAGCAGTATTTATTCGTTATATCACCATATTTATAATGGGAAAAAAACATGGCTTGCCACAAATTATTGCTAACTATCTTTCTATCAACAGGATTGGAAGTGTTTTTCAATTTGGATTTTAATTTCATTAGCGGTACTAGTTGCTAGCTAGCTATTTCCTGTAGTTAGCTAGCTATCATTTTCAGGCAGAGGACTCGCTACTAGTAACGTTATCTGCATGAGATCATTTCCAGAAAACGATCTAGATCAGTAGGTAAATAATCAGAAGATTTCCATCTCTTCTACCTGACGTAAAAGCCGAGCAGTAGATAAGCGCTACGGTGAATAAAGCCTCCATCCATCTGCGATTTTCCAGCGACATCATTCTCCTTGCTGTACCGTAAATCAACTGACTCGCTTGTCACGAAGATGGTAGCAATGCATGATGGGTATGAATTGGTCTTCTGCAGAAATTACAATGATTGATTTCTATTGTATGGCTGTTGAAATATGGAGTTCATTGTCTCTGTCCTTTGACATTTTCAGGTAATGAAAATCAATACCACAAGCAGGGGCTATTCTATATACTGTAGTACAGTGGTCACCAACATTTTCTGAGTCTAGATCACTTTGAGTCAAAATTTACCCCTCAGATTTATTTTTACACGACTTAAAAAATGTAAGCCTATGCAACATTAACCAATTAAAAACAGTTCTGTAGCAATGAGGTTTTGCAGTTGGATATAGGCCCAATAATTAAATATTGCACCATCCCATTCTCTGGGCTCTGTCTGCAATCATAAAATTTTTCTTTTTAGTCATTTAGCAGACGCTCTTATCCAGAGCGACTTACAGTTAGTGAGTGCATACATTTTTTCATACCAGTTGTATATAGCAAGAATAATGAAACATATAATAATAATAGATGTTTGGTGAAGCTATGAATAATGTATGACCACTGGAGTCTTTGCCATTCAAAATATTTTTTTTAATTGAATATTTTGACATTTTTTTTATCATTCAAAATCTTGCCAAAGCATATTCTGTAGGAGGGTTTGATTTAAAATAATTTGACATGATTTATATGTATCGGGTCATGAACATAAGGACTTTGAAATGAACAAGGGAGAGGTTAAACGTAGGCTAAGTCTGGCATAAGCTTATTCCCACACTTTACAATAACTCTGTTGCAGTGGTCTTAGGTAGTTTCCGTATAGGCTATTCCCTCCATCGTGATACTGCTGCCCAGTTGAAGAGCTTGTGATGTAGACCTAATGTAGACCTATTTGCCTACTAGCCAAATAAAGTTTTGAGCATGCATGACTTAGTGCAACTCATCATTCCAATATATTTGAACATTTAATTCACGCTTCATTCAGTTCAGTCAGTCAGTCAGTATGTCATCAATTCTGTCATTTGTCTGAGTTGTAATAGGAACTAAATCAAAGAGAATATCAATTTGTTTATTGAAATCCATGTGCGTATTCAAAATTATCTAAATTCTCCAAAGTTCTTCAGTATATCACTTTAATAATTCAATGTTTAATTTAGGCTTATCCCCCCCCCCCCCCCCCAAAAAAAAAAAAAAATCTAAAATAATAATAGGCCTTCAACTTGTAGGCATTGCAATTTAGGATATCATTTTGGGTACTAGTGTCTTGCAGAATAATTTTATAACTATTTGTGTTTTAGAACTGTTTTTATTATAGGTCTCCCCTTAAAAAGAAAATACATTTTAAACTAAATAGTTGAAGAAGCACATGCATTGGCTGATAGGGAAAACAGATCTGGCAATAAGAATAGGCTATAGATAGTCTTGACCATTTGGGACCCCTTGGCTATTTCACTCAGGACAGGTTACAGCCAAGACTTAATCAATATTTTGTTTTGTCTCATTTATTGATATGGATATAGCCTCTGCGTGATGGGGTTGTGCAATGCAAATGGCTATAACAAGCCTACATACAGAGTGGAATTCGCAAAAACAATATAAGGCCTACAGTCTGTGCTCCCAAATACTGGAAAAAGTGTGATTCATTAGGTTACATGATCACCACAATAGCCCCACGCAGCTATAAAAATAAATTATGCAATTATATGGCCATTAAATAACACACAACAGCATGGCATATTTAGATAGCAGAATAAGCCTAGCCTAAATCATATTTACTTTCTATTTTGCAGCTCAGGCGGTTATTCTAGACAAGGCTCTTCTGTGTCTTAAAAAATATATATATATATATAATTTTTTTGTTCTACTTTTACCCCTTCTTCTCCCCAATTGGTAGTTACAGTCTTGTCCCATCGCTGCAACTCCCGTACGGACTTGGGAGAGGTGAAGGTCGAGAGCCATGCGTCCTCCGAAACACGACCCTGCCAAGCCGCGCTGCTCGCTTAACCCAGAAGCCAGCACCAATGTGTCGGAGGAAACACCGTACAACTGGCGACCGAAGTCAACTTGCAGGCGCCCGGCCTGCCACAAGGAGTCGCTAGAGCACGATGGGACAAGGACATCCCGGCCGGCAAAACCCTGCCCTAACCCGGACAACGCTGGGCCAATTGTGCGCTGCCTCATTGGTCTCCAGGTCCCGGCTGTGACACAGCCTGGGATTGAACCCGGGTCTGTAGTGACGCCTCAAGCACTGCAATGCATTGCCTTAGACCGCTGTGCCACTCGGGAGTCTTCTGGGTCTTTATAGTATCATTCTCACACAAGTCATTTGCTGAAGGCCCAAGTCTATACTACACCATTTACTGATAACGTCGTTATCGAATGCCGTTCTAAAACAAGCTCTAGACTTTTATTTTGGAAATTAAACCGGAAGCTGCAAAGCAACTCTATACTCTGGGCTACAGTTGCTTGACTGACTAGCTAACTTCGACTACCTACTTTCGGTTCATGTCCTTTGCAGATGCCACATTCCTGACAAAAGTTTGTACATATAAAACAATTATGTAACTGAGTAAAGGGAGACAAAGTAAGAATTGAACATGTAAATGTTCAGTCATAGTAGTAACATAGTATGTTTACAGATCTAATTTAACAGTTACGTTTCATGTTTCACGCATGGCTTTTCTTACGATCCTAACAATTTACGTATGGATTGTCTTACGGTCCTAACGATACGTACGTTCAACCTTTTGGCAGCTATCTTTCTCCATAGCTGCCTCTCCCCCCTCTGCTGAGAAAAAGGGACACAAACATCCAGCTGACGGCCAAACTCAAGTAGAACTGTATTATTTCTGCCTCATGCACCAATTCATGTTGTTACTCCTATGACCAGAGAAAGTGAAATATTCCTCGATAGTAAAAAAAGACACAATCCGCAAATAATAACAACGCAAGCTTATCTGAATATTTTGCTAATCATTCATTGCAGCTGCAGTTCTTGTTGTAGCAAGAGAAAAAAAAACCGGAAATATTAACGTACTCATTAAAACAGCAGCTCTTTTCTGTAGCCTGTTCGTTAAGCCTCTCTCTAGTCATGGTTTTCAAAGTTTTGAAAGCTCATTCACAATATCAACTTTGCTGTGCGTTCCAGGTTTATTTTTACAGTCTATGGTGATCGGAGCTATCTGATTGGCCAGCGGTAGACACCTGATTTGCTCTTTGGGTCTGCGGGATAGGCGGAGTTCTACCTTCAGACACATGAAATGGTTCAAAATGGGAACACTTTGCCTCCCGGGCGCTAGGGCTGCTGAATCAAGTGCGCCTACCACCAACAGCGCGAAACGAATAAAAAAATAGGACCGCGAGGCTTTATCGTTGGGGGTTTTACGGAAATGTTTGCTGATCGAGTAGTCGGTGACCAATGCTGTAGCCCAAAAAATCAACGTTCACTTTCTCTTCACCTGTAATATCAAGTACATCCACTGAGTGGGGGTATATGATCATAAATTAACCAACCAGGGTCCATATAGGCCAGGGATGGGCAACTACCAGCCGTCAGCGGCCAGAGTGGTCTCACTTTTCCCCCATCCCTAGTAAACACAGCTGATCAAACTAATTGCGTTCTAAACTAAAGATCATGATTAGTTGATTATTGAAGTCAGGTGTGTTAGCTGGAGTTGGGGCAAAAGTGTGACACCAATCAGGTCCCAGAGGACTGGAGTTGCCCATCCCTGATTTAGGCATACTAAGGATGCAATTCCAAGGATTTGTGAATGTCAGGGACAAATTGTGAATGTAAAGTCATTTTTATTTAATTTGATGGTCAGCTTTATCCCATTTGATGTTCAATTATTTACTTTCTTTGCAAACTTGACATCTCCACAAAAGCAGTATCTGTTAACGCTGTCTTGAGGGAGTTTTGTCTTGTTCTTGAGTAGGCTACTGCTTCTCCCCTCCACACTCTTATCCTTGAGCATTCAGTTTGTGGCTCAGAACAGCCTAGCTACATTAAACAAGTATGCAAGTATAAGTGTGCAGGTGAAATATTGAAGTAGCCCAACTGTCTGGAGGTCTTTGTAGGTCCAGACTAGACAGATTTGGTCTAGAAAAGCCAGGGCCATATGCCTTATGTCCAAAGCTTAGATGGGTCCATGTAAGCCCTTCAATAATAATCACACAATGAGAAGCTAAACACTCAGATAAACCTTATCTTGCAGTTTTTAAGATTTATTTTAAAGCTTTTTTTTTGTAAAATATAAATACAAATGAGATATTTTAATTGCAAAGTTTAAACAAAAAAAAGACACACCAAACAGTAAAACTGATACTGTACTGCAATAGCCACCCTGTTATGTACAAGCTCTGTGCTGAAGGGAGAATATCTTCTCATCATCTTTAAAACTTTCCTATTATACAAAAACACATCTCTCTGCAGTTTAGCAAGTGAAATTAGAGACTAAATGAGAAGCAGATTGAACACAGGTACAAAACAGCCCCTGAGGGTGAAGAGAGCGCTAAGTCTGTCTGAGCAGACCAAAAAACTATTAGAACAGATCGTCAACATGTGCTTCCTATCAACACAAAATGTCACATTCAAAAGCGCAGCCTCAGTGCTCAGACTGTACAGTACACACACTTCCATATAAACTGACACACACATAATGTACTGTTTAACACACATACTGTACAGACACAACCAGGGGCGTCTTGCACCCCAAAAATCTGAGGAGAGTTCCGAGGGGGGCTAGGCCCCCCCTGTCCTGAAGTTGGAGAATTTACCATTTTTCAAACACCTGAAACAGCTATTTTCTGAAATCTAGAGCCATAATCATTATGCTTAATTCTATGTAAAAACAAAAAAATGTCAATTTTTTCAGCATAGCTCTTGAGCCATCTGTATCCTCCTGACTGGTGGTTCTTTTTTTAAAGAAACTAAATATGCTGCTCTGCATCTCTGCTAAAATCTGGTTAAAAGATTGAAAGGAATGTGATTCTTATTCAGTGCATTTAGTTATTGCTTGCTTTCCTAAAGTCTACCAACCTTGCCAGCAGGCATGCCAGCTAAGATAGTTAGACAAGCTAGCTACTCTAATTTGATTGATAGCCTGAAATGGTTTCTTGGTAGCGAGTAATGAAGTTGGGAGATTGAGAACCTATTTGGACTAGGTAAAGCCAACTTCATAAAACTGCCAAGTGGCCAGTACTACAGAGAAAAAAAGAAGAAGAAATTAATGCAATTTGTATTTATTTTTTAACAGGACAAATCTGAGGAGGAACATGCCCCTGTGCCATGGGCATTACGCCTCTGCACACAACCTTCCATTCATGACAACACAAACACACTCACACAATTGCAGGATAGAAATCGAGAAAACATTTCCAGATATATTTATATATTTATAGATATATTAATACATTTATAAAAAATTAGACCATTGTTAAGTTACAGTCGCCTCTCCATCTTCACTTGAAGGACAGACATATTCAGTCTCTGCTGCTCTATCTGTCCTCTGTCCAGCCCACCGGTACAACCAGGAGTTCAATCTCAGATCTCAGGGCAGGGGTCTTATTCATTCACCCATTTTAAACCCCCACTGTAGAGCAGGGATTCAGAATTCAGGGTCAAAGTTCAGGGTCAGGGGTCACGACCTCCTGTTAGCGTTAGCCTTAGCTTTAACATGAGCGCTACCATTAGTCTTAGCACTAATGTTACCTTTAGCCATAGCCCTAATGTTCCCATTGACATTAGCCTTAGCGTTAATGATACTGTTAGCATTAGCCATTGCCCTAATGTTCCCATTGACATTAGCCTTAGCGTCAACATTATCATTAGCCTCCGAGAGTTCGTCCCAGCGTTCGTCCAGGCACTCCAGGGTGGAACCCAGCAGAGCGGCCAGCTCAGCACTCCCCTCCACCAGGTCCAGAAGCTCCTTGCTGTCTGGCTGGAAGCCCTCCAGCTCGTCTGGGCAGGAGAAGAGCTGGGAAAGAGATGCCTGGCGGTAAAACTCTGCCTCGGCCATCGTCACCACCTCCATGTGGGGGAAGGAGGAGCGGAAGGAACGGGCAGACATCCGCAGCCGCTGGAGAACATCTGAGAAGAGAAGCCAGTTCCTGGGCCTGAGGAGGAGAAGGGAGCGGGTGAGAGAGGGTTAGATAAGGCACCACAGGGAATCACACAAAATAGTTGAATAAATGGTCTTGGTTTAACTGTAACTTTCATCAAACTCTCTCTCTCTCTTATTCTGTACCACTCTGTATTCCTCCTTCCCTCTTCCACTCCTTCTATCCAATCAGATTGATCTATGTGTGTTTGTACTCACCCCTGCGACAGGGACACCTGGATGTTGTAGCAGGGGAGGAGGGGTCGGTCGGAGAACTCAAACTCAAAGAGCTCCCTCCTGTCCTCGTCCTCCGGCCCTGGGGGGTCCGTCAGTACGTCACACACACTGCCCTCCTCTAATGACTCTGAGAAACAGAAAGAGAGATACACAGTTGGATTAACACACAAACACACCACTAAGGACTGAGAGCGACACAGTTAGATTAATACACAAACACACCACTAAGGACTGAGAGCGATACACAGTTAGATTAACCCCCAACAAACCACTAAGGACTGAGAGAGATACAGTTAGATTAACACACAAACACACCACTAAGGACTGAGAGCAATACACAGTTAGATTAACACACAAACACACCACTAACGACAGAGCGATACACAGTTAGATTAACATACAAACACACGACTAACGACTGAGAGCGATACACAGTTAGAAGAACACACAAACACACCACTAAAGACTGTTAAGAGATACACAGTTAGATTAACACATAAACACACCAGTAAGGACTGAGATACACAGTTAGATTAAGACACAAACCCACCACTAAGGACTGAGAGAGATACAAAGTTAGAGTAACACACAAACACACCACTAAGGACAGAGAGATACACAGTTAGATTAACACACAAACACACCACTAAGGATTGAGAGAGATACACAGTTAGATTAACACACAAACACACCACTAAGGACTGAGAGAGATACACAGTTAGATTAACACACAAACACACTACTAAGGACTGAGAGATATACACAGTTAGATTAACACACAAACAAGGACTGAGATACACAGTTAGATTAAGACACAAACACACACCTAAGGACTGAGAGAGATACACAGTTAGATTAACACACAAACACACAACTAAGGACTGAGAGAGATACACAGTTAGATTAACACAAAAAACATACCACTAAGGACTGAGAGCGATACACAATTAGATTAACAAACAAACACACCACTGAGGACTGAGAGCGATACACAATTGGATTAAAACACAAACACACCACTAGGGACTGAGAGAGATACACAGTTAGATTAACACAAACACACCACTAAGGACTGAGAGAGATACACAGTTAGAGTAACACACAAACACACCACTAAGGACTGAGAGCAAAATACATTTAGATTAACACACAAACACACCACTAAGGACTGAGAAAGATACACAGATGGATTAAAACACAAACACACCACTAAGGACTGAGAGTGATACACAGTTAGATTAACACACAAACACACCACTAAGGACTGAGAGAGATACACAGTTAGATTAAAACAAACACACCACTAAGGACTGAGAGAGATACACAGTTAGATTAAGACAAACACACCACTAAGGACTGAGAGCGATACACAATTGGATTAACACACAAACCCACCACTAAGGATTGAGAGAGATACACATATAGATTAACGTACAAACACACCACTAAGGACTGAGAGCGATACACAGTTATATTAACACACAAACAGACCACTAAGCACTGAGAGAGATACACAGTTAGATTAACACACAAATACACCACTAAGGACTGAGAGAGATACTCAGTTAGATTAACACACAAACACACCACTAAGAACTGAGAGCAATACATAGTTAGATTAACACAAACACACCACTAAGGACTGAGAGCGATACACAGTTAGATTAACACACAAACACATCACTGAGGACTGAGAGCGATACACAATTGGATTAACACACAAACACACCACTAAGGACTGAGAGAGATACACAATTGGATTAACACACAAACACACAACTAAGGACTGAGAGAGATACACAGTTAGATTAACACACAAAAACACCACTAAGGACTAAGAGAGATACACAGTTAGATTAACACACAAACACACCACTAAGGACTGAGAGAGATACACAGTTAGATTAACAAACAAACACCACTGAGGACTGAGAGCGATACACAATTGGATTAACACACAAACACACAATTGGATTAACACACAAACACACCACTAAGGACTGAGAGAGATACACAGTTAGAGTAACACACAAACACACCACTAAGGACTGAGAGCAAAACACATTTAGATTAACATACAAACACACCACTAAAGACTGAGAGCGATACACAGTTAGATTAACAAACAAACACACCACTAAGGACTGAGAGAGATACACAGTTAGATTAACACACAAACCCACCACTAAGGACTGAGAGAGATACACAGTTAGATTAACACACAAACCCACCACTAAGGACTGAGAGAGATACACAGTTAGATTAACACACAAACACACCACTGAGGACTGAGAGCGATACACAATTGGATTAACATACAAACACACCGCTAAGGACTGAGAGCAAAACACATATAGATTAACATAAAAACACACCACTAAGGACTGAGAGCGATACACCGTTAGATTAACACACAAACATACCACTAAGGACTGAGAGATATACACAGTTAGATTAACACACAAATACACTACTAAGGACTGAGAGAGATACTCAGGTAGATTAACACACAAACACACCACTAACAACTGAGAGCGATACACTGTTAGAGTAACACACAAACACACCATAAAGGACTCAGATACACAGTTAGATTAAGACACAAACACACCACTAAGGAATGAGAGCGATACACAGTTAGATTAACACACAAACACACCACTGAGGACTGAGAGCGATACACAATTGGATTAACACACAAACACACCACTAAGGACTGAGAGAGATACACAGTTAGATTAACACACAAACACACCACTAAGGAAAGAGCGATACAAATTTAGATTAAGACACAAACACACCACTAAGGACTGAGAGCGATACACAATTGGATTAACACACAAACACACAACTAAGGACTGAGAGAGATACACAGTTAGATTAACACACAAACACACTACTAAGGACTAAGAGAGATACACAGTTAGATTAACACACAAACACACCACTAAGGACTGAGAGAGATACACAGTTAGATTAACAAACAAACACCACTGAGGACTGAGTGAGATACACAGTTAGATTAACACAAAAACACACCACTAAGGACTGAGAGTGATACACAGTTAGATAAACACACAAACACACCACTAAGGACTGAGAGCGATACACAGTTAGATAAACACACAAACACATCACTAAGGACTGTTAAGAGATACACAGTTAGATTAACACACAAACACACCACTAAGGACTGAGAGCGATACACAGTTAGATTAACAAACAAACACCACTGAGAACTGAGAGAGATACACAATTGGATTAACACACAAACACACCACTAAGGACTGAGAGCAAAACACATTTAGATTAACATACAAACACACCACTAAAGACTGAGAGCGATACACAGTTAGATTAACACACAAACACACCACTAAGGACTGAGAGAGATACACAGTTAGATTAACACACAAACCCACCACTAAGGACTGAGAGAGATACACAGTTAGATTAACACATAAACCCACCACTAAGGACTGAGAGAGATACACAGTTAGATTAACACACAAACACACCACTGAGGACTGAGAGAGATACACAGTTGGATTAACACACAAACACACCACTAAGGACTGAGAGCAATACACAGTTAGATTAACAAACAAACACACCACTGAGGACTGAGAGCGATACACAATTGGATTAACATACAAACACACCACTAAGGACTGAGAGCAAAACACATATAGATTAACATACAAACACACCACTAAGGACTGAGAGCGATACACAGTTAGATTAACACACAAACACACCACTAAGGACTGAGAGAGATACTCAGTTAGATTAACACACAAACACACCACTAACAACTGAGAGCGATACATAGTTAGATTAACACACAAACACACCACTAAGGACTGAGTGAGATACACAGTTAGATTAACACAAAAACACACCACTAAGGACTGAGAGAGATACACAATTAGAGTATCACACAAACACACCACTAAGGACTGAGACACACCGCTAGATTAAGACACAAAAACACCACTAAGGACTGAGATAGATACACAATTAGAGTATCACACAAACACACCACTAAGGACTGAGAGTGATACACAGTTTGATTAACACACAAACACATCACTAAGGACTGAGAGCGATACACAGTTAGATTAACAAACAAACACCACTGAGAACTGAGAGAGATACACAATTGGATTAACACACAAACACACCACTAAGGACTGAGAGCAAAACACATTTAGATTAACATACAAACACACCACTAAAGACTGAGAGCGATACACAGTTAGATTAACACACAAACACACCACTAAGGACTGAGAGAGATACACAGTTAGATTAACACACAAACCCACCACTAAGGACTGAGAGAGATACACAGTTAGATTAACACATAAACCCACCACTAAGGACTGAGAGAGATACACAGTTAGATTAACACACAAACACACCACTGAGGACTGAGAGAGATACACAGTTGGATTAACACACAAACACACCACTAAGGACTGAGAGCAATACACAGTTAGATTGACAAACAAACACACCACTGAGGACTGAGAGCGATACACAATTGGATTAACATACAAACACACCACTAAGGACTGAGAGCAAAACACATATAGATTAACATACAAACACACCACTAAGGACTGAGAGCGATACACAGTTAGATTAACACACAAACACACCACTAAGGACTGAGAGAGATACTCAGTTAGATTAACACACAAACACACCACTAACAACTGAGAGCGATACATAGTTAGATTAACACACAAACACACCATTAAGGACTGAGTGAGATACACAGTTAGATTAACACAAAAACACACCACTAAGGACTGAGAGAGATACACAGTTAGAGTAACACACAAACACACCATAAAGGACTGAGATAAACAGTTAGATTAAGACACAAACACACCATTGAGGACTGAGAGAGATACACAGATAGATTAACACACAAACACACCACTAAGGACTGAGAGAGATACACAGTTAGATTAACACACAAACACACCACTAAGGACTGAGAGAGATACACAGTTAGATTAACAAACAAACACACCACTGAGGACTGAGAGCAAAACACATTTAGATTAACAAACAAACACACCACTGAGGACTGAGAGCGATACACAATTGGATT